CAGGTACTTTTTTATTTGTTCCTTGATCTCATTGTTAACCCATTCATATTTAATAACATGTTATTCAGTCTCCATGTATGTGAATGTTTTTGAGTCTTTTTCCTTGAGGTGGTTTTCTAGTTTCAAGCCATTGTGACCCAAGAAAATGCTTGATATGATTTCAATTTTCTTGAATTTATTAAGACTAGTTTTGTGTCATACCATGTGGTCTCTCTTTGAAAATGATCCATGTGCATTTGAAAAGAATGTAATATTTTGCTTTTCTGGGTTGAGATGCTCTATAAATATCAGTTAAGTCCATTTGATCTAGGATTTCATTCAATGCCACAATATATTTGTTGATTTTTTTGTTTGGGTGATCTATCCATTGTTGACAGTGGGGTGTTAAAATCTCCTGTGATGACTGTATTGCTGTTGATTTCTTTCTTAAAGTCCTCCAAGATTTTCCTTATGTATTTAGGTGATCCTATATTGGGTACATGTATGTTTACAAGAGTTCTATCCTCTTGTCCTGTTGGACAACTCCCTTAAATATTATATGCTGACCTTTGTAGTCTCTTGTTATGGCCTTTGTTTTGATGTCTATTTTGTCTGATCCAAGTATTGCTACCCCAGTTTTCTTTTCATGTGTATTTGTTTGGAATATTTTTTTTCATCCTTCGCTTTCAGCCTATGTAGATCTTTAGTTCTGAGGTAGGTCTCTTGTGGGCAGCATATGTGCAGGTTGTGTTTTCTTATCCATTCAGTTTTCCTATGTCTTTTAATCCATTTACATTTAAAGTTGTTATTGAAGAGTATTTATTCATTGCCATTTTTTTCCTTTGTGCTTGTCTTCTTCTCTTTCTCTTTCTCTTAAAGCAGTCCCTTTAGCATCTCTTGCAATGCTGGTTTGGTGGAGATGTATTCTTTTAGCCTTCTTTTGTCTGGGAAGTACTTTATTTAACCTTCTGTTTTAAATGGGAGACTTGCTGAATAGACCACTCTTGGTTTTGGGTCTTTGCTTGTCATTACTTGGTATATTTCTTGCCATTCCCTTCTGGCTTGGAGTATTTCAGTTGAGAAACCAGCTGCTAGCCTTATCAGAGCTCCCTTGTATGTTACTGGCTGGTTCTCCATTGCTGCCTGTAAGATTCTCTCTTTGTTTTTAAATTTTGCCATTTTAATTAGGTTATGTCTTGAGTGGGCCTGTTTGGGTCCTTCTTGTTTGGGGCCCTCTGTGCTTCGTGAACTTCGTGACTTTTTTCCTCACCAAGTTAGGAAAGTTTTCTGTCATTATTTTTTCAAAAAGGATTTTTATCCCTTTCTCCTTTTCTTCTCCTTCTGGTTCATGTTATCCTGCAGCTCCGTTAAACTATCTTCATTCTTTTCGAGTCTCCTTTTGTTTTGTTGCTCTGACTGGGTGTTTTTAATCCACCTTGTCTTCCAACTTGCTGATTCAGTGTTCTGTTTCATCTAGCCTGCTTTTAATTCATTCTGGTTTATTCTTCATTTCAGTTATTGTATTCGTCATTTACTCCTGGTTTTTATTCAGAGCTGCTGTGTACTTTTTTATGCTGACGTAGTTTCCACTAAGTTCCTTGTAGTTCTCACTGAGTTCCTGTAGCATACTTATAACCATTACTTTGAACTCTATGTCTGATTAATTTCATTTAGCACTCTTTCTGGTAATTCATCCTTTCCTTTCAATTGTGGGTTATTTCTTTGTCTCCCCATCTTAGGGGACTCTTTTTTTTTGTTTCTACATATTGATCTGCTGTGACTCTCTGTTTTGTGGGGTGACCCTCTGTGGTAGGAGTCCTGTGGGACTCTGGTGTTGTGTCCTTGATCTCCTATGTTGTTGTACAGGTCCTGACAAAACTAGCATCTGTCCTTCTCAAAGTATTCCAAAAAATTCAGGAAGAGAGAAGACTCTCAAACTCTTTTCACAAGGCCAGTATTATCCTAATTACAAAACCAAATAATGCCATGATAAAGAAAATTACAGGCCAATATCTCTGATGAACATAGATGCTAAAATCCTTAAGGAAATATTGGCAAACCAGATCCAGCAATATATTAAAAAGATCATATGCCATGACTAAGTGGGATTTACGCTAGGGATGCAAGGATGGTACAATATTTGCAGAACAGTAACTGTAATGCATCACATAAACAAAATGAAGGACAAAAATCACATGATCATATCAACTGCTGAAAAAGCATCTGATAAAATTTAGCATCCATTTATGATGAAAACATTCAACAAAGTGAGAACAGAGGGAGCATAACTAAACATAATAATAGCAATATACAAAAAAACCTATTGCCAATATCATGTTTAATGATCAAAAATTAAAAGTGTTTTTCTTAAGATCAAAAACAAGACAAGGGTGTCCACTTTCACCACTCTTATTCAACATAGTACTAGAAGTCCTAACCACAGTGATCAGACAAACAAGAAATAAAAGACATCCAAATTGGAAAGGAGGAAGTTAAACTGTCATTTGCAGACAACATGATAGTGTACTTAGAAAACCCTATGGGATCCACTGAAAAAACTATTTGACCTAATAATTGAATTTAGCAAAGTAATGGGATACAAAGCCAATATCCAGAAATTGATGGCATTTTTGTACACTAACAATGAACTATCAGAAAGAGAAACTAAGAAGAAATTCCCATTTAATAAAGCAACACACACACAAAAAACAATTACCTAGTAATAAACTTAACCAAAGAGGTAAAAGACCTGTACTTCGGGTACTATAGAACAGTGAAGAAAGAAATTGAGGAAGCTACAAATAAATGGAAGCATATACCATGTTTATGGATTAGAAGAATTAACATCATTAAGATGTCCATATTACCCAAAGCAATCAATAGATTTTAAGGCAACTCCTGTGAAGATTCCAACGACATATTTCAAAGATGTAGAACAAATGCCCCCCAAATTTATATGGATCAAAAATGACCCCAAATAGCCTCAGTATCTTGAAAAAGAAGAACAAAGTAGGAGGGATTATAATACTTGATATTGAACTATACTTAGGACACCGTAAACAAAAGTCTGGTACTGACATAAGAACAGGCACATTGATATGTGGAACAGAATAGAGATCCCCATAATAATACCCATGTCTCTATTGTCAATATTTGATAAAAGGGGCATGAGCATACAGTGAAGTAAAAATAGATTATTCAATAAATGGTGTTTGGAGAACTGTACTGGTACATGCAAAAAAAAAAAAAGAAAGAAAGAAAGAAACTAGACCAGCAACTCACAACATACACCAGAATAAACTCAAAATGAATAAAAGACTTACATATGAGCCATGATACCATAAAAATTCTAGTGGAAAACATAGGCAGTAAAAATTCAGATATCTCATGCAGCAATATTTTTGCTGTTATATCTCCTAGGGCAGAGGAAATTAGGGAAAAGATAAACAAATGGGACTATATCAAATTAAAAAGCTTCTGCATGGCTAAAAAAAAAAATCAAAATGGAAGGAGAACCCACTGTATGGGAGAACATATTGCCATAATATGTTGGAGTGGGGTTTAATCTCCAAAATATGTAAAGAACTCATATGACTCAATACCAGGAAGACAAACAATCCAGTTGAAAAATGGGCAGAGGACCTAAATAGACATTTTTCCAAGGAAGATATACAGATAGCCGATAATCATATGAAAAAATGCTCAACATCACGAACCATCAGAGATGCAAATTAAAACCACAGTGACATACCAGTTTACACCTGCCAAAATGGCTATCATTAATAAATGAACAAAGCAAGTGCTGGCAAGGATGGAGAAAAATGCACTGTTGGTGGGAATACAGACTGGTGCAGCCACTGTGGAAGATAGTATGGACATTCCTCAGAAAACTAAAAATGGAACTGCCTTCTGACCTAGCAAGTCTGCTGCGGGTAATATACCCTAAGAATCCAAATACATGAATTAAAAAGAAGTTATGCACCCCTGTGCTCACAGAAGTGCTGTTTACAATAGCCAAGAGTTAGAAACCCTTCAATAGAGTGGAGCAAAAAACTGTGGTACATTTACACAGTGGAACACTATACAGCAGAAAGAAAGAAGTCCTACCTTTTGTGACAGCATGGATGGAACTTAATACTAATGTGTTAAGTGAAATAAGCTAGGCGGTGAAAGACAAATAACCACATGATCTCACTTATAAGACTAACCTGTGAACCAAATAAAACCATCCAAATAGAACCAGAGACATAGAATAATAGAATACATTAACAGTAGTAAGAGGAAGGAAAGAAGTGGGGACTGTTTGAAAGAAGGTGAAGGGATTAGTCAAGGAACATATATGAAGGGCCCATGGACATGGAACAGGGTGAGGATTGACTGTGGAAGTGGGGGGCGGGCTGGGTGGAGAAGGGCAAAGAGGAAAATTATAGAACTATAAATTATAAAAATAAATAAAAAGGAGAGAGGAATTTGTTTCCTCTGATCTTTATTTTGCTTAAGAAATAATAGATTTATCATAATGTAATCTATACACTTAATTCCCCTTTTAATCTTTAAATAAAATGTTTATTAAATGTTAAAATTAAATACTATATTTATAGTAAATAAAACTAAAAAGTATTTTGATACTTATAAAATAACCTTCCTTGTTAACTTTATAATTGTAATGCTCTAATTATGAAAAATTTAAACTAGGGCCATTTTAAGATATTATTACTCTTTACTAATAAAGTTTACATTGGGATTTCATGGTATTTAACTATGTCATTGTGTCACATTTGACCATTCATGCTGCTCTTATTGTCAGGTTTGCTTGTTGTTTGTGATAGAAATTTTCAAGTGTAGGTTTCCAGATACACTTTTCTGGTACTGATTGTTGTCAAGAAGGTATGTTTATCCATGTCCCTTTGTGTTAGATTTCTAAAATGAGTCCATCAAGAATTCAGAGTAGATGTGTCCTTTCCTTTTGTGCTGCTTTTTGCTCTTGTTAATGGTGAATCTTGTATCCTTTTTGTTTGCAGTGTCGCAGTTTGAAACTGAATTCTACATCAGTGGTCTTGCACCTCTCTGTGATCAGCTTGTTGTGCTTTCCTACGTAAAGGAGGTTTCAGAAAAAACGGTAATTTATTTCACCACAAATACAAGGGATTTATACCCAGATCATTATACCCAGACCAGGTTGTCCATGAACGGGCTCTGCTGAGCAGAACTTCCTGACCTATAAAATAAGGTCAGCAGAGATTACCCTGTAGACCTAACATATTCGCCTTTCAGAAGCTCTACTCTTTGCCTGCCTTTGTTCCTTTTGCTGAGCAAAGGGAAGTAATTTTTTTTCCTATCTGTCTCAGTATTTTAGTAGAAAGGAATGAAGGATTCCTCATGCTGAAAGGCAGTGAAACTAAGCTGACACTGTGCATTACCAGAAATGACAGCAGTAAAGTTGATCTGCTGCAACAGCATGTCCCCTGTGGTCAGAGGGAATTACAGAAAAGGCAGTTCATTATTTCCTGTGGTCCAGACATATTTGTTTACTTCCCAGTGCCCCAGTGATTCTGAGTAGCATGATTCTTGCTTTTAAATACAATGATTATTGCTAACTCTCAGTTATCAGTGTTAATGTGATGGTATGAAATGTATGGCAGATAAGAAGCAACAGAGAATCTGAGTTTTGTTATATGTGACTTTGGAATAAAGCCTGTATCTATATGGTCCAGTGTAGAGGCATATACACACAGTCTCCCTTTGAAGCTTAGGCGGGCCCCATTTGCAGTGAGTCTTTACTGTCTGAGTCCAGGAGTCCTATCAGGAAAGGGAGGGGGTAGCTTCAAGGCATAAACAAGGAGAGCTTATTGTAAAGGATTTTCTTTGCATCCTGTATATAAAAAAAATTGCAATTGATTGTCTAGCCCTTTACAGTAAGTAGGCCCTCCTTTTCTGTACCCTCTCCTCCCCCACCGTTTCTCAAATGCCAAGGAATAAAATAGAGAGAAAAACCCTGGGAGCCCCAGTTTTGAAGTGGTAGCTGCTCTCAAGCATTTCTCTGAGCTAGCACTTCCATCAGGAAGCTATCACTATAGTAACCTGAAGCTCTGGATGCCCATGTTGCTAGGCAATGGGATGCTGTAGAATTAAGTGAACACTCAAACCTGCTAAAATCAATAGGGCTGGCTTCTAGCTCTGTTGCAGGATATCAGTTTATTAATTTTTTTTTAAATAAAGAAAAGCAGTGGCTCCTGAAGGAGTAAATATGGTGCTTTTTGATGAGAAATGTGGGGGGGATTGAGGATGTGATTCAAAGACATAAGGAAAGAAGCATTGAAATGAAAAAGGAAAAGCCTAATAAACAATTGACAAAAAAAAAAAGAGAGAAAGAAAGAGAAGAAACCTTTGTTAATAAAAGAGAGCATTGGAAAGGAGTGAAAACCAAGAAAGACCAACCTCAGAGCAAATAAGAAAATGGCATTTTTCAGAGAAAGAAGTGAGGGTTGTGAAGATGAATTAAAAATGTATGTGTCATTATATTCATTTCACATAACACCAAAGTATACCTTAAATCTTTAAAACAATAAACTGATGAAATTAAGACAAAAAGGATAAAAAAGCAGCTTGGGGCCATCCATGCCTTCCACCTTTTTTCTCCATATCAAAAACATAGCTTAACCGCAACATTAAAATTTGCTTTTATATGATGTATCTCCCAACATATTTTTCCAGTTATACCTTTTATATGTGTGCATTTTTCCACACAGTTGCAGTCATAGTTACGTGCTATCCTGCACTGCCATATTTTTTGGAGCCTTATTCCATTCTCTCTCCCTATGGCCGTGTTGTCTACCATCATTATCATTTAGAGTGGTTGTGTACTATTTTATCTGGTTGATATATCCTAATGTGTTAAGTTGCTCCCCTAATGTTTTCTTTTTCTTTCCTTCATTAATAAAGCACATGTGTGTGAAAAATTGTGCTAAGCATTGGGAATTGGAGATCAATAAGACCAAATTCCTGCTCCTAGGAATTCACAGATAAGCAGGGCTTGTTTTGCCAGTGAGCAAAAGTTATCAAACAATGAAGTGATGGTTTCCTTACACATATAAAGGGGCTCTTTATGTGGTCTAGCAAGGCAGTTTTCTTTTTTAATATTTAGTTCAAATATGTTTCTATTTTGTTATTTTTGTCTTTGTTATAGCGGTTAATTTTTTAAGTATTCAGATCTTTCAGCTTTTCCTTCATTTTTTTGTTTCAAAATTGAGATAGTTTTCATTTCTCTATAGTTCTGAAAATTATGCTCTGTATTTACTGTTTTTTTTCCTCTGCTAGTTGATCTTTTATAATTACTATTTTATTTTTAGAATGTTTTCAATGTATTAAGCGCAGAGCTAATATAATTGCTTCTCAGTTAACCTAACAAAATTGGTGAAAGAAATTTGTGAGGCTTACTGTTTACTTAGGGAACTTGAGAGTTGGGGGTAGTTCTGGACTTCTTTCATTGTTTCTGTCATCTGTGTTCTCTTCACCAGTGTCACACTGCTCCAGGCCTGTTGCTTTCAAAAATAGTCAACCTATGTTTTATGCCTGGGTGCTGAATACCCAAAAAGTATGAACTTTAAGGTAAAACAAACTTGATTTGAAATTCAGGGTTTACCATAAGTCCCAGTTTTTCTATAAATCCCAGTTTCACCATTTACTTATGTAACTTTGACCTGGCTAAATTTTTTGGTCCTCAGTTCCTTCATCTGTAAAATGAGGAACAATAAAACTTACTAAGGGTAATTTAAGAACCCCAAGAAAATAGTCTTTGTATAATCATACTAGGTTAGTGGGGCTGTCAGAGGCCCTCAATAAATCTTTTCCTCTTCTATCTTTATCTAGAACCACACTGTCCAAAACTGTAGTTACTGACCATGTATTTAATTTAAATTAATTTAAAACTAAATTTAAATTAGTTAAAATGAAATAGAATTTAAACTCAGTTTCTCAGACACTGTAGTCACATTTCTGGGTGTTCAGTAGGTACCTGTGTATTATGTCTGTCACATTGGGCCATGCAGGTAGAGAACATTTCCATCATCTCAGAAAGTTCTGCTTTAGAATCTCTGGCTTTTTAGCATTACCAGTAAGTTTATCTGTAGTGGCAGTGGTTTGAATAATGGAGTAGCTTGTAATATTATTTTTACTTTTCTCACATTTTTCAGGAAGGGGTATAACAAAGTTGCCTAAGGCTGTGGTAGTCATGGAGTTGAATGGGCTGCAGTAGGGGGCTGCAGACATGACACAGCAGTACCTATTCTGTTTATCTCATGCAAAAGGCCAGAAAATAAAACACAGCTATGAGGCCATCTGTGGTGTTTAGAAGGGCTTATGTCTGCCAAAATGATAAAACAAGGCATTTAATTATGTGTAACTAAATTTAATTTGTATAATTTATAGAAATGTAATTAAAATGAGCCTTTTCCCTCTCTTTTTTGCCCTAGGAAAGAGAATACTGTGCCAGGCCCAGGTTGGATATTATCCAGCCACTTTCCGAGACTTGCGAAGAGATCTCTTCTGATGCTCTGACCGTGAGAGGCTTTCAGGAAAATGAATGTAGAGATTATCACTTAGGTGAGGGAGATTGAGGATCTGGCTTGTGTTATTCTTACATTTTTAATTTTTCCCCTTCCATGCAAGTAGCACAACAGGAATTTAAATTGAGTTTCTGAAAGAATCTTAAAGAGTATCCAGGCAGGCCTCTTACATTACAAATGTGGTCATTGAGACCAAGCGATACTGTAGAACTTGCTTGAGCTCCAGCAGCAGAAGAGAGGGGAAAAGAGGAGGCCTGGATGGAGGTGAGTCAGCTCTGTGATCTTTGTTCTTATAGTTGGTCTATTATCTTAACTATTTAATGTGATGCCTAACTTACATTGATGTCAAGCATCATGGTTCTAATCACTCCCAACTTGCGTTCCTAGACTATGTACTCTGGGGTGGCAGAAAAGTTATCTCTCTCTTTGTGACCAAATGCTCAGAGCCTAGAGGAGCGCTTGGCACAAACTAGGCATTCACTGAATATTTGTTTTGTGCATAGATAAATATACTAAAGCACTGCTCAGAAATAAAGGGAAAGCCAGTGCTGTTTAGTCATACCTGGGGCGTCTGTATTTGGGTGTTATCACTTTATTGAAAGATACATTGATGAAAATAGAGCAGCTTAAGCTTTTTATAAGTTCTTTCTGCTTTTAAAAACAATTCACCTTTTTGTAGCAAATATTTTCTGTTCTCATTTTACCCCAAAGAAATGAAGGTATATTCTGTACATGTTTGAACTTCCTTACATGAAGCACCTAATCAGCTGAGAAATGTGAGAATAGTATATTCTGGACTTGGCAAAAAGCAAACGTGATTCACAACTGAAAGTGTCCAATCAAGGTATTTTGCTCAGAGCAAACTGCTGCATACCTAGACATCCTTCAGAACAGGTTTTATAATTGAATCTTCAGGAAACCCTCACAACTGGCACTGTGCGCAACATGCTGAAATGTCAGATTATATCCCCAGGGCTTGGGGCATCTGTCATTTATGCTTTAGATGGCCTTGACCTTGATGAGGAAGCAACATTTATCTCAGGTTGTGGGGTGTGATTGTTCCATAAAAATAGAACAGTGTTGTAAATGACCATAAATGTTTATATGCAGTAAATGAATTCTGATATGTAGGAGACATGGAGAATTTTGAATACCTATTTTTATCTGAGGTCAGAATGTTAATGTATTAAACACAGAATTTTAAACCCACCATACTTAAAAAAAATTTAGCCCTGGCTGGCGTAGCTCAGTGGATTGAGCGCGGGCTGGGAACCAAAGTGTCCCAGGTTTGATTCCCAGCCAGGGTACATTCCTGGGTTGCAGGCCATAACCCCCAGCAACCGCACATTGATGTTTCTCTCTCTCTCTCTCTCTCTCTCTCTCTCTCTCTCTCTCTCTCTCCCCTCCCTCCCTCCCCTTTCTAAAAATAAAATAAATAAAATCTTTAAAAAAAAAAGCATGTTATTAAAAAAAAATTTTTGGTGGTATTCCCTTCTTCCCTCCCTCCCTTCCTTTCTTTTTTCTTCCAAATAATTTTACAGTTAAATACTTTTTAAAGCACTGGTATATATTCTGTCATTCTCTACCATGTCCCACCCCTTCCTTCAAACAGAGCCAAACACACTTATTCCAAGGATAAGGGAGTTTTCTGTTCACTCTTAATAAGCTGAGTTGTCTAACCATGTCCCATGAAACCACTGCCAAGGTTTCTATTGTTGAGTCACCTGAGATGTTCCTTTCTTGTCTCAACTACAGAGTACTCTGAAGGGGAATCACTCTTCTACATCGTGAGTCCAAGAGATGTCGTAGTAGCCAAGGAACGGGACCAAGATGACCACATTGACTGGCTCCTTGAAAAGAAGAAATATGAAGTAATTTTGATTTCACTTTCTTGAAAGTATTGACATGTCTGTACCGTAGAGAGGATAAGTGTTTTGGGGGGTAAATCTTTCATGTAGATGAATTAGAATGCCCTAAGCTAGAAATATGTTGGAGGCTAATAACTTTACAATTTTCTTTTTAGAAATTTGGGAGCAAAAAGATTATAAGGAGAGTAACTGGCTTCACTGTTTAATGGAGGAGGAATTAGTAGCAGAGGGAGGGAGTAGGTTAGATCCAGCCTATTGAAGTGTTTATTCTGTGCTTTTTTAAGGAAAATGAAATAGAGCTAGTATTTCAGAATTGTGAATTTGGGATATTTTTGTGAAATCATTCCTTTGGTACTTATTTCTTATGTAAAAGGAAAGCTATCAAATTAATGCTCACTTAGAATAGTTTGAACTACCGGTTCGGATAGAATGATATTGTCTGCTTTGTTGAGCCTTGGTTCAGACTAATTTTAGTAAATAATGTGTTATCAGGTTTTTTTTTTAAAAAAAGAAACCATTTTTTTAACTTTAGTAGTCAGAAAGGCATTATTGCATTAGTTTAGTTATAGAAACTGGATGGGCTTTTGTATTAATCAGTAAAAAACAAACAAAAAATAGTCCATTTGTATGTTGCTTTAAGTTTGTAACCACCTGAAAGGATTTGGGGGAAAATGTTTTTAATGTATAAACTATTTAGAGTCCAGGTATTGACCTCAAGTTCATACCATATTGTTTTACCTCCAGTAGTTTCTTGAAGAGATAATTCTGTGTTTTAAACATTTGTGTTGAAGTAATAATTGTAAACTTCTTAGAATAAAAATGAAATCAGAGATTTTCAAAATCTTATTTGTAGATATATCTAAACATATACATATAGTTTACTTTTTATATTTCATAAAGGAAAGGTACCCTGTCATTAATATATGTCATACAGATTTATGATGACAGATGAATTTTTTGTTGTTGTTTGAACCTGGAAATTTTTTATGTATTTTGATTTCTGTCTGAAAAGTAATTTTAATATCTTAATGTGAAAATAAATTCAAATAAGAGAAGTCTTTATTTTGGTTGACTGCTTTTGTTAGCGTTGGAATGCAGTGAGGTTCATTCAACCATAACATTAGAAATTCCTGTGCTTGAAGCAAAAACTACAGGAAAATGGGGCTTTATTTAAGTAGTCCAGAACTTTAAACATAATAAATATAATATTTTTAATCTCAGTGTCTTTCCCACTTTCTCCCATTTTTTCTCCTCCTTCTCTAACTTTATAATGCTTGTGTAAATATAGGAAGCTTTGATGGCAGCTGAAATTAGTCAAAAGAACATTAAAAGACATAAGATTCTGGTAAGTATGTAATTTTATTATTTGAAATATAACTACCTTTCAGTAGGTTATAATGAGACTGAATGAAAAGGACTGATTTCTTCCTTCCTTTTGAGAATTTATTTCAAACTAATTCTCCAACATGTAAGGTCACAGTATTTCATTTTATTGAGTCAGTTTCTGCATGTAAACAAGAGACTCGAACGTCTGCTAGGAGATGGTTTTAGGTAATTTGGAAACTGGATTTGTGAAATACACTTTAAATATAAAGCTCCCCCGTTATGTGTGGGAAAGTTTCTTTAAATCATAGGTAAAATCACATTATCACAAAATATCAAGAGTGGTTTCATAAAAGTAGATTGCTTTAGTGTCTTCATAATAATTGATTTTCTTATGGAGACTAATCTAGGACATCAAATACATTTTTATTACATTTGGATTCCGGAAAAATATAGTGACTGAAAACCTATTTATTTGCTAGATATGACAGTGAATGTGCAGAATGAAAGCAGAAAAGAAATGTTACCCTCTGAGTGTGAAGGGTCCTTAGACAACGTCTAGTCCAGGACTCTTATTTATAGATGAAAACTGAAAACTTAGTCTATCAGAGCTACGTGGTTTTCAGCACAAATTCCTTTTGCCTACACTTCCCCACCTTAAACTTCTCTGTAAAACTCCATATAAAAGCCTAATTCCCAAAATGTACAAACAAAATAATTCAGTAACTAAACAGAGAAATAACCAGAGCATCTTTTTTTTTCATTAAAAATTGTGGAGAATAAGCAAAAATTATCTAGAAATGTAACAGAAGGTGTTCCAGCCAATAGAATAGTATATGTGATGGTACAGAGAAGTGAAACTGCTTGGCCTGCTTGGTTATGTGAAGCAGTGGAGAGTTTATACATATGAAGAGTCTGATCCTAAAGGGCCATGTTTAATTAGGGGCTTTGCTCTGTCTTGTAACCTCTAGACATAGTTTAAGCTTTCATTGCTACATCACATTTGCTTGTTAGAAAGATTCTCTGTTGGAGATGGCCAGAGGGAAGCCCGCTGAAATGGGAATCAATAAGATACAATTCCCTTCTTGGTGTGAAGGTGGAAGTGATGAGAACTGCAGAGTTGATAGGAATGGAATGGTGAAGATAGATGGAAGACACGGTCTACTAGACTCTTTGGGATTTGTTGACTGACTCTGTGTGCACAGGGAAGTGAGAGTGAATATTCTAGGCTGACTCCCAGTCACGGAGACAGGTGGGGGAGAGAGGTGGGGGAGGGAGAAAGAGAGGAGGAGGGGTAAGAAGGAGGAGGAGAGGGGGGAGGGAAGAAAAGAGAGGAGATTAGGGGAAGGGAGGGGAGTACTAGTAGGATCAGGTATGTGGCAGGAGGGGTAGGTGAATTCTGGTTTAGACACATTTAAGTTTTTGCCACTTACAGAACACCCTAGATGTCTGGACTCAGAAATAAATTTGAGAGACTCTTCAGTGACAGAGAAGTGTTTGGGCAAATCCACACAGAGCAAATGTCTAGCATTAGAGAACAGAGGACTGTGAATGGAACAATTGGGAACACTCATACAGGCAGACTTGGCACAGCCAAAGGAAGGTTGTGTCATGGGAGCTGAAGGAGAGGATTTCAGGGTAATAAGAGATAAATTTTAAATCGTTGAAGTTAGTGCGTCAAAAGTAAGACAACCTCAGCTAGTCAGTGGTACATTTGGTGTGGTAGTTACAAAAGTGACTAGTGAATTTTATGTATATGTATTATTTATTCTTAACATTTTAGGAAGTGGAAAATTGATAGGAGATGATAACATAGAGTTTAATGTAGACCGTTTAGTTCTGAGGTAGAAGAGAGTGAGGACTGGTTGGTTGGGGGCTGTGACATCATGGGAAGGTTGGTGGTGATGGTGGGTATTTTGTATACGAGAGACACAACATGTTATGTTAAGGGAAAAGATATAAAATTGGACTAAAGTTCAAGGTCTAATAGAGAAAGAAGATGAGTGGCAGAATAAACTCCACATGAGGAGGGGGCATGACAGTAGGAAAAAGTTTGTAGAAATTGGCACTGCAAAGGAGACCTCTGAACCTGGACAGGAAGACTCTCCATTGATATTGAGATGTGGTCTGTTTTCAGAGAAATAAATTTAGGCACCCTTTCCTCACTATGCAGTTCCTATAGTTTTAAAATATGATTTCCTACATTGTAGTCAATAAAGTAAAAATATAATAAACTAAGAATCATGGGTGTTTTCTTCATTATTGGAATAGGCATGTACAATACATTGGTTATATATAGACTTTTTTCTCCTGGTACATTGTAATTCCATAAGCAGGCAGGCAGAGAAATAATCTCCTGCCAATTTTATCATCCAGGAAGAAGTTCACAAAAACTTCTTTGTACATAAAGTAGAACTTAACATCCAAATTTTGTTACATATGCTGAGTTTAAGCTTCTCATGAAAATGCTTTTAAGCGAAAGTAGTATTTTATAACAGGAGTCATGGGGAGGCCAAGCAAGAGCTCCCATGCCTCCACTGCCACAGGTTATACCAAATCTTTCAAGTCCGAAGTGGAAATAGTGAATGAACATGAAATACTCTGAATCCAGTCAGTTCTGCTTTGAGGCCCAGTTTCCTCATCTGTTAACACATGGGTTTCAATTACACATTTTCTGAGCTCATTTCACTTGAATGTTAACTTTAATATTTAATATTGCCCTTTAATATGATTTTCTTTCATTGTGTTTTTCGGGTTACATTTCTTCAGACTTGATATAGGAGACGGATAGCTCACATTTTATAGATGAAAGCACAAGAAAACAATTTTATATCCTTGACAACATTAAATCATTGGATCAGTTTTCTTTTTTTTATGTTGCAATTTTTTTATTGTTGTTCAGTTACAGTTGTCCCAATTTAGATCATGTTTCTAATATGTGGAGATTTCTTTTGTAAAAAATCTCTTGGAAGGAGGCAAATTAGAAGGCTTTAAAATAGTAACATTTTTATTGTAAATTTGAAAATTTGTGTAGCAAGTATATTTAAATATAATTAGGAAGGAAATAAGCACAATTACAAAACTATGCTTAAGAAAAAAAAACATAATTACATAAAGCAAACTAAGATATATAAATAGGTTTCAATCACAAGTGCTAATAGGACCCTAAAGTCACGGCCTTCCCAGAAACTGTGACTCAGCTTTTCAGTCGTTCCAGTTAATTACGAAATTCCTTTATTTGATTTTCTCTAGGACATTGGCTTGGCATATATAAACCACCTGGTGGAAAAAGGAGAGTATGACATAGCAGCACGGTAATAATGACATTAACTTGTTAATATAAATAGAATTGGTCAATGTTAACAGCAAACATACGCTGTTCTCAGCAGTTGATAGGCATTTTTAAAGATCCTTCTAATGAGTAATTTTTGACTATTAATGGTTTTAAACAGAATGGATCAAAACTTATTATATACCTTTTAACTATCTCATTTTCACCAAACAAGAAATATTTTTCTTATTACTTAATGAGAAAGGTATCAAAAACCATGAAGAGTATGAGATTTTATCCTTTCTATATGGTGACAGGTTAGCCTGTCACAGTTTCATGGGCGCCTCAGCAATAGTAGTAGCCAAAGGACCAGCACTTGTGCCAGATCGATCCCACAGCTCCATTTCTCACAGGGAACACAAGGAGGGTCAGGTGGCACTACACAGGCAGTGGGTTGTGTTATAGGAGGAAGACTCTGAACTTTGGATATCTAATTCTTTTAAGCTTGCCTTCCTTTGGCTGCAGAGGAAAGTGTTACTTTTACTATACTGGACAGAAAACAAACCTTCCCTTTGCTCTGGAGGGAAGCACTCTTTGGGTCCTCTAACTTTCAGGGTTCTTCACTGTAGAAGCATCCTTGAGAAGGTAGTCTAGAATAAAGACAGTCAGCACGTCTGCTCACAATTCAAGCAGAATTATCTCTCAACAAGAGGGTGGCAGTTAAATGGATGTGATCAGACCCCAGATTCCTGGTTCACAGGAGTCTATGGTGAACAGAAAGCAGACATGTGGTCGTGTAGGTGTTGTCTGAGTGGCTTCCCTGCAGCTGTGCAGTGCTCTCTGCCAGGGCTACATGTACATGGCAGACCAGGAAGACAGACTTCAGGCCTACTTTTCATACCCTGAGATTTAGGGAAATAAGTTTCTTTGATGTGCAAAATGTGTAAGGTTTTATCCATATGCAAACACTTCTCCACGTTACATACTATGATAGGATTCTAATTTTCTTAAGTCTGATTTTGTAGTCCATTATTTAAAGCCATTCAAGAAGTGGTTTAAATTGGCACTTCGGGGGATGATGACATTTCTTCAAGTCAAGAAAGACCCCAAGTGAACGGTGCTCATCTGGATAAATAGGCAACTCAACACAGGAAAGTCATGGGGAAAACTCCTAATTGTAGTTTTCTGAAAGCTATTCATGTTTATCTATAAGTATTTTTATATTAATTTTATTGATTTTCATCAACCTTTCATATACAATCAAGTGAGCACCAATAATAGCTTTATATTCAGTGGTACTTGAGATAGAAATTTGTCAAAACTCTGAAATGAGAGATTATCTAAAACACTAGGAGAAATGTATATTTATTTTATCTCTGTTTATTCTTTTACTTAAAACTTGCTTTCTCTCTGGGATGTTTTGGGTGCCAGCAAATGCCAGAGAATTCTTGGGAAAAATGCAGCACTCTGGGAATATGAAGTTTATAAATTTAAAGAAATTGGACAGCTTAAGGTAAGCATTACTTTATTTTTAACTCTTAATTTTTATATGTAGTATATTAATATGAGCATGCCTCAGAGATATTGTGGGTTAGTTTTCAGACCAGCACAAATAAAGCAAATACTGGTATCTCATTAAAGCAAGTCACATGAATTTGCTTCCCAGTGCATATAAAAGTTGTTTACAGTATACTGTAGTCTAGTAAATGTGCAGTAGCATTATTATGTCTAAAAAATAAACACTGCACATACCTTAATTAAAAAATACTTTATTGCTAAGAAATGCCAATCATCATCTGAGCCTGTTGGAAAAATGGTAGACTTGCTCCACACAGGGTTGCTCCCCCTAAAAAAAAAACAATCTTCAATATTTGTGAAGTGCTATGAAGTAAAGCACAGTAAAATAAAGTATATGTTTATTGAGATGGAAATAAAATTAAGACAGTAGTAGTCAGTTCTTTATTGGGAAGCAAATTATGTCAGCCAGGAAGATTCAAACTTTTAGAAGTTAGCTTCAAAATGTAAACATAGTTTATGTTTTATATGTATAATATATTACATATACATTGTGCTTACTTTATTTCCTAGTTCTGTGCTCAGATGAAGTTTTCATGTTCTTTTTAATGAATATGGAAAACAGGTATAGTCTCATGCAGGAGATTGTAAGACATGGGGTTCTTTTTTTCTGAAATTAAGATTAATGCTTTTTGAAATAATATTTTACTTACTGGAAAATAAGTGGAAAAGTTTGACCATGTAACTCTAACAAATAAATTTTATACTTCATTTTTTTCTTTCAACTTGGTGCATAATATCCAAATCAATAAAGTATTCAGTGTTTGTTTAAAAGTTTTTAAAAACTTTTTCTTATGACTGAACATTTTCAATGTTCTCTTAATGATATGAATATTCTTCTAAAAATTCCCAATTACTCAGCTGCTCAGCCTCATAAGTGTTCTCTTCCCTGGAAAACCCCAAGGACACTCTCTTCAGTTTATTGGGCTGCTCCTCGAGGGTGTTACCAGGACCTGTGGCCATGTTTACCTAGACAGCTCCATAACCCAGACTTCTCTTTTGAATTCCTTATCTACATTGAAAGTGTGTGATGGCCATTTCTCCTTGTATATAATGCTAATAAGGATCACTCAAATTTAATCTGAATCCCTTTCCTTCCCAAATTTGATTCTTCTCCTTTTAATCTGTGTTTATGACATTACATTATACTCACTTTTCCATGCTTAATAGCTCAAAACCACTGTTTCGATGAGAATGTCTAACTTACCTTATCCTATTTAACCTCCAGTTCTTGTCAGTTTTACCCCATCAGTATCAATTCAGCTTCTCCTCTTTCCTTCTGGTACTGCTGCCTTGTTGCGCGTGGGTCACCGGCCAGCAGTGACCACGGAACGCTGTGGATGGCTCGACAATAAACATGCGAGAAAAAACAACACATGCACAGAGACAGACTAGTTTCTGTGGGGAAGTAGGGACAGAATGGCCACCCCCCCCTAGTGGGGAGCGCACTGATTTACCGTCCATACCTGCTTTTATTGGGCTCATTTTGCATAATAATTCAGGTAAAGTACAGTACTCATTAGGGGGAAGTAAGGAACTATAGAAAACAAAGAACTCTGCTGGTCTATTGAGTTGGGGGTCAAAGAGCTGTAAGACTGAGGAACAAACTAACTTCCTCCTAAGACCCTTCTCATTCAACTGAGAGCATTCTAAACAAAGAAGGTTTCACAGTAATTTACATATTCTTTCTTAGGCCTGATCACCCTGGGGAATCTGCAGTTCTCAGTACCGAGCTGCACCACCCTGTCATTGTTTCAGGCTTAGGTGGAGCAAGGGAACTAAGGCAACTGAGAGATAAGGAGATTTTCTCCCAGATGCTGAGAACTCAGGCTATGTCAAAGCCGAGGAGCGAGGGTCCATCACCCCCTTTTGCTGCAGCCCCCCAAGTCCTTCTTTTGGGGGGGCCTCCCAAAGTGATCGTGCCTGTCTTAGGTCGTTCCCCCGTGGGGAATCTTACCCGTCTTTGGCTAACTGACCAAGCTTTTTGGGGGTTCAGTTATGAATAAAGCAGCAGAAGCAGCATTCCTGCCAGGAAGATAAGCTTTTATCTCCTTGCCGGCTTACGGTTCCAAGGGCGTTCCCTTAGCTTTAGCCTAGGTGGGGGTTTCAGCCTCTGATACTAGTCAGGGCGGTTCCCAACACTGCCTTAACTCTTGATAGATCTATAGGCAACCGTCACCCAGAGTTAACTGCTTAAAAAATAAATGTGCTTCTCTCACTTCCCTAATATCTGTTGTTTCACTCCCGCCCATAGGATAAAATCTGAGTTCCTTTCATGACACCACTTCACTTTCCTCTCCAGCCTCATCTCCCTTCAGTGACTCCATTCTACATCTGTGACATCCCTGAATGCAGGGTGTGCATTCATGGCTCCATGCCTTTGCTCATGCTGGTCCCCGTGCCAGGGTGCCCTTTTTTTTTTCACTTTCTTTGCCTAAACAGACCTCGGCTTCTGTGATCTCAGCTTCAATGTGTAAGATTTGCCACACCTTCTTGTTAATCCCTCTTATATCACTTCCCACGTAATATTGCAGTTGGCTATTTAGATGTTCATTGACCTTTCCTCTGGGACTGTGAGCTTCTTGGAATGGTGATTTTGGTGCACAGTATACTGCTGAGTCATTTGACAGTATTTGGAAATTTGACCCTTAACATAGTTCTGAATAGCTGAAGAACACAATAACATATTTGCCCCTAATTTCAAAAGATGATTGTGAGTTTTTAAAGGTTGATACATTCCAGTTGAAGGGAAGAATGTTGAATAGGCGATCTATACTGCTTGATTACTTATGAAATTGACTTTTATCGTGTTTGTAGCATTCTCCCTCTTATTATTTAGATTTTCATTAATTCATCAGGAAGAACAGAGATATAGGTTAACCTGGGCAATTTTGTATTCATTCATTCATGCACACATACCCCTCATAAATTTTTTTAAAAAAATATTATAGCCCTTGCCAGGTTACTCAGTTGTTTAGAGTACTGTCCCACACAACAAAAGGTTGCAGGTTCAATCCCCAGTCAGAGCACATACCTAGGTTGTGGGTTCGATCCCTGGTCAGGGCAGGTACCAGGGACAATTGATGGATGTTTCTCTCTCCTCTCTCCCTTCCTCTCTCTCAAAATCAATAAAAACATATCCTTGGATAAGATTAAATATATACATATATATAGTTATATGTTGCAAGTAGTTTATTTGAATCTTTTCTCTACATAGTAATTTTCCAAAGTACTTTGTTGCCTTAAACTTTCAAATTGAAAATATACAGGGTAGGGTTCCAGCCAAGATGGAAGTGTAGGCAGAAATGCTTCACTTCCTCAAATAACCAAAAGAAGGATAACAACCAATTTAAAAACAAAGAACAGCCAGAACTGCCAGAAAATCATTTGTGTGGAAGTCTAACCACCAAGGAGTAAAAGAAACATTCAGCCAGGCTGGTGGGAAGGGCAGAAATGGGCAGCCAGGGCGGAGAGGAATGCGGCAATGCAAGGCAGCAGACCACATGTATGATCCCACATTTATGCACATATTAGCAGGGAGAAACAGCAGGAAAGTGAGACAGACAGCAAAACCCAGGGTTCCAGCACAGGGAACAAAGTCTCAAAACCCCTGGCTGTAAAAAATCTGTGGGGGTTGCGGCAGTGGAAGAAACTCCTAGCCTCACAGGAGAGTTCATAAGCTGCTTATGGGAAGCGAGAGAAGTGATGGAAAGTGGGACAAGAGTGGAGCAAATGGCATTGTTCCCTCTCTGACCACACCCCACAGACAGCGCCACAGTGGAGCAAAGAGGGTTGCTTTGCCCTGGTGTATACCTAAAGCTCCATCTCTTACCATGTAACAGGTGCTCCAAGACAGAAATATGGCCCAAATGAAAGAACAGATCAAAGCTCCAGCATCCTAATTACCAGCATTTTGAGCTGATGCAGAGTTCAAAACACTAGTAATCAGGATGCTCACAGAATTGATTGAGCTCAATCACAAAATGAAGGAAGAAATGAAGACTACATAAAGTTAAATAAAGGAAAATAATACAGGGAACCAATAATGAAGGGAAGAAAACCAGGACTCAGATCAACAATTTGGAACAAAAGAAAGAAATAAACATTCAACCAGAACAGAATGAAGAAACAAGAATGCAAAAAAAATGAGGAGAGGCTTAGGAACCTCTGGGACAACTTTAGGTATTCCAATATCCAAATCATGGGGGTGCTAGAGACAGAAGAGGAAGAGCAAGAAATTGAAAACTTATTTGAACAAATAATGAAAGAAAACTTCCAATATGGTGAAGGAAATAGACTTCCAGGAAGTCTAGGAAGCCCAGAGAGTACCAAAGACATTGGACTCAAGGAGGAACACACCAAGACACATCATTAATTAATTGAATTAAGTCACCCAAGATTAAAGATAAGAAGAGAATCTTAAAAGCAGCAAGAGGAAAGAAGAGAGTTACTTACAAAGTAACTCAAAGCTCCCATAAGACTATCAGCTGATTTCTATAAAGAAGCTTTATAAACAAGAAGGGGCTGGAAAGAAATATTTGAAGTCATGAAAGGCAAGGTCCTACATCCAAGATTACTCTGTCCAGCAAAATTATCATTTAGAATGCAAAGGCAGATAAAGTGCTTCTCAGATAAGGTAAAGTTAAAAGAGTTCATCATCACCAAGCCCTTATTATGTGCAATGTTAAAGTGACTATTAAGAAATAGAAGATCAAAAACTATGGACAGTAAAATGACAACAAACTCACAAGTATCAACAACTGAATCTTAAAAACAAACAAAAACTAAGCAAACAACCAGAAAAGGAACAGAATCACAGAAATGGAGATTACATGGAGGGTTATCAGTGGGGAGGGGGAGAGGGAGAATGCAGGGAAAAGGTACAAGGAATAAGAAGCAGAATAGGTAGGCACAAAAATAGACAGGAGGATGTTAAGAATAGTATAGGAAATGGAGAAGCTAAAGAACTTACATGTATAACCCATGGACATGAACTAAGGTGGGGGAAATGCTGGAGGGTGGGGGAGCAGGGAGGAGGGGGGAAAAGGGGAGAAAAAATTGGGTCAACTGTATAGCATAACCAATAAAGTACACTTTTAAAAAATTGGAAATATACTTTTATGTTTTCTGCTTAATTTGAGTATAGTTTTGTTTTGCCACTTTTTAAGGGTTTGTTTTTGTTTTGTTTTTTTCCTTTTCCTTCCCTAGGCTATTAGTCCTTATTTGCCAAGAGGGGATCCAGTTCTGAAACCACTCATCTATGAAATGATCTTACACGAATTTTTGGAAACTGATTATGAGGTACAATATTCAAGCATGGTCATATTTACTTGTTCTCAATAGAAAATGTTAACACATTAAAAAAAATAATGTAATGGAGCAACTGGTTTAAAGTTAACTGATTTGCAGTTTGTGTGTGGTAGATGAAACTGAGATAGATAAACTCTAATGATAACTAATGTTTATGTAGATAGTGAAAATCTCTAATCCATGTACATTTTGGAGAATTCCTTAAAGTTACCACCGTTAATAGGAAAAGGGACTGAGTGCCATTTGGGGATTTCAGAAATAGAATAGCAACTTCTGTTAACATTTATACTACCCCTAAAGAAAGCAGACCTTTCTAATGGGTGAAACTCAGAACTAAGTTTGTCAAAGGAGAATTAAAGAGAAATTGAGGGGGCAGTAATGGGGAAAGGGATTGGAAATGATCTGTGTGCTTATTGATTAAGGAAAAAGGCAATACATAAATTGCTTATCTACTGTAACTCTGCACTTGTACATGCAAATTGTGATTTTATTCCTAACAACACTATGAGTAGTAATGTCCAATTTTAGAGAAGAGACAACTAAAAAATGAAGAAATTAAATAACTTGTCCAAGGCTATACATTTAATAAATAGTATGCTTAGATTGTAATTTAAGTTTATTCTTTGCATTTACCCAAAATGGATTATAATTTTTAAGGTTTGTTAATTTGACACATATTTATTGAGAAAGTATCTGTTTAGTTCCTGCTATGTTCCAGGAATATGGTAGGCCCTAGGCCTACAATTGTGAATGGAATGATGACCCTTCAGCAGTCACTCAATATGAGTCACACCCAAGCATGTGAACCAGTGGTTCTTGACAATGACTGGTTCTCTCCCACAGGGGACATTTGACAATGTCTGGAGACATTTTTAGTTGTTCCTTCTGGGGAATTGGTGCTGTCATTTAGTGGCCAGAGGCCAGCAGAAATGCTATTAAACATCTCACAATGGCACAAGACAGGCCCCTACAACCAAGAGTGGTCTATCCTTAGATGCCAGTACTAAGGTTGAGAACCCTGATATAAAGATACATTATTACATAATATGCTGGATGCTCTCATACAGCATCAACAAAGTGTTGTGGCTAAAACTCAGCTTAGTTCCCCTTCGGACCAAAGAAAAAGATGAGATTTCTGGTGGGCAGGTTCTAGACAGGGCCAGTAAACTCTTCCAGAGCTGTGACTGGTGCTAGGAAGATCCATAAACGAGGAGCTGTAACATGTTCTGTAGCTTTGGGCCAACTTGCAGGGTCATAAAAGTGGAACCACCTTTAGTCTTTGTGAAGTTCAGGGCCCTAACCTTGTGATCAGTTTTAATTTTTGGTACCTCACAGTATGATGCAGGTTGTCATTGCCTTCTTTTTTATTCTTATGTTAGGTTTTAAAGATAAGGAAGGCTTTGTTTACAACTTTCTTTTTCCCATGATAATGTGAGGTGGCTTGCCAAAGGTTAACATACAGAAATAAAAAGAGGCAATAAGACTAGAGGGGGAATGAGAAAATGAACTCCTGTGTTTTTGAGTGCCTACTGAGTACTAAACACCTTGTTAAGAGACTTCTTTTTAACCAATAACTGATTTAGTTTAAGGAGTGGTAATATGGCAAACACTGTTTCAACTCTGAAATGATATTTTATACCTTAGAATCTAAGGGACCTTTAAAATAGTGATCTCTTACCCTAGTAACAGAAGTGTTTGCTCAGTTACTGTCAACCAGGTATTCCTGGATATATAAGATCCAAGCATCCTGATGCATGTATTTATATAGTCCCTTTACTTTTATAGGCCTGTGTTCTTATAGGAAGAAATTAGATGCTTTAGCATGAGTTCAACTACAACAAAATATCAATATTTCTTTTAATCATACATACTAATGGAGGCAGTGTTTCCTCATCTTTTCTTATTAGCATGTATGTTAAAAATCCAGTGTTCTCTAACAGCATGAATCTATTCCTTTCTGGATCTGTACAGAAGATTTTATGGTAATAGTTTCTGCCATTTATGCTAGATACCAACTAATGTAGACTATGGTTTCTGTTTATTTCCTTTTCAGTTTAATTCAACATACCTTTATTGGGAAGCTACCATGTTCTCGAACTGTCCTCAGTTGGATGCTAGAGAAATTAAAAAACAGAATCCTGGCCTTCAGTGGATTTACAGACTGACCAGGGAGACCATACTAATAAGCTTAAACTAGAAAATAAGTAACAGAGCAATATGTTCTCTAAGAGATTGAAAGAGAGGCCATTATTTCCCATAGTTATTGGAAAAGGTTTCTTCAGTGGGTAAAGACTTATAATGGACTTGTGTTTCTATTCTGTCTTTATACATCATCCCAAAAGAAAATTATGAGTGTTCTGTGAAAAGGATGGGAAAGCATATATACTTTACTTAGAGATATTACAGCTTATTATACTTGTCTTCTTTTTAAAGTAATGCAATTTAACCATAAAAAGCAACTTTATTATTTTTATGGTTCTGTTACAATTTTTTTCACATGATTCAACTCTTACTTTTTCAAGAGACTCGATTTTTGTGCCATCAAAATTATCCTGCCCTGGCCGGTGTTGCTTAGTTGGTTGGAGCATCATCCTTTAGCTGAAGGGTTACAGGTTCAATTCCCAGTCAGGATACATGCCTGGACTGTGGGCTTGATCCCAGTCTGGGCATGTATGGGAGGCAACTAATCAATGTTTCTCTTTCTTCCTTCCTCTCTCTCTAAAAGCAGTAGAAAAATGTCCATAGGTGAAGATAAAAAAATTACCCTTTTGATTCTTATCTAGAAGACTTTTGACTGAGCCTGAAAGAAATAATTGTGACTTAAACTCACAGCTTAGAGATTATTTTCCTCTGGATGTTTTGGGTATCTTCCTGGTTCCTACTAAGAAGGTTATAAACAATTTTTATTGTCATAAGCTCTTATAAATAATTCATATTTAGCCTTTATTATTCTCAGTTTCAATCTTAATTTTTAATTAAATTGTCACATATTTGATCAGCTAGCAGTATTTTGTGGCAAGACTTTTGATCACTTACGTACATGAAAATTTTGTGGTGTTAAACAGCACTAAAGAGCAGATTTAAAAAACAACTGTACTTCTGGAATATTGAGTTCTCAACTTTCTTTTCTTTCTGAAAATTAACACAGTCCTGGCCTTCAGTGGATTTACAGACTAACCAGGGAGACCATACTAATAGGCTTCAAACAACTAGAAAATAAGTAACAGAGCAACATGTTCTCTAAGAGATTGAAAGAGAGGCCATTATTGCCCATAGTTATTAGAAAAGGTTTCTTCAGTGTGTAAAGCTTATAATGGACTTGAGTTTCTTTCCAGTATGTTCTGAGTATACACAGTGGCTTAGAATTTTCTTCTATGGTGATGATGCTTCATGACTTATTTTTATGGGGTTTCTACCCAAATGCATATTTCTTTGACTCTTCATTTACAACCTTGCAAAATAGTTCTAAATAGTTAAGCTTTGTTTTATAATATTAATTAGAAATGTATAAGCATGTTACAAGTGAGACAATTTCTATGGCATTTCATTTAATGAATATTTTTAACCTTTTACTAACTAATGGGCACTGAGATGTTCTCTAACTTTGCTCACTCAGTCATAACAGCTCCCTGATAACTCTCTTTTCTAATTAATAATAATGGCCACAGTGTTAATTTCATCAGTATTTCTTAGCACAAAGCCCATTAAGGAGGGGAAAGCCTAATAAGACATGTAATAAATGCTTAATTCAGTTTATGTAGGAATCATCATGCTTTTATCACACAACATGACCAGTTTGTCTTATTTTGTATTATAAGTTGGCAGTGGCACGAGGCTGTTGCGTAAACATGAGGAAGAGGAAATGGAACCAAGCTTTCTTCTTTCCTTGAATAGTGTTATTCTTGGTCTCAGGGATACTGAAAGCTGCCAGTTATTCTGGTGGAAATCTTTTGAGTTTTCATTTTATAAATTGTACAGCCTTAAGAAAACAGAAACTTTATCCAAACTATCATTTTGGTTTAGAGAACATTTTAATGTTCTGATTCAGTAGTTTTGTAAAATATATCATCTTTACTCAGTGTGACCCCCTTCACAAATGTCTCAAGTCAAACTGCAATCATGCTAATACCTAGAGAGGTTGCAGTTTGAATGGAAAGTATAGCCCATTGTTTCTGTCTTTTGCCATCCTTTCTGGGAATCGCTTTAGGAGAAAGTGGGTAGGACTTTAATGCAGACTGTATTCCTGATTCTTTTGTAATTTTCTTCTTACCAAATTATCACACTTTATAGAAGCAAATTTTATGTCACTATTTTCATTTCTAAATATCATTTAAACACATTCAAAGTAGTTAAGGCATTGGTTGAGTTACTTAATATGATTTTTAATATAATTTATAGTATAAAGATTATTACTTCTACTTGCTGTCTTCTAAATACATACATTTTGTTTTGTTTTTAAGTTGTAAAGGATCAGTAAGTAAAATGCTCTGCTGTACTGAGTTACAAAACCTGAGGGCTAAAGTTGGGAATCAGGAGGGCAGGGGCTTCCTAGGACTTGGGAAGAAACAGGATGAGGGAGAAACAGGATCCAATCAGATGATAACCCCAGATGATATTTGGAGTTTTCTATCAGAACCACAAATTTTGTGCTCCAGTGATAGTCAGGGTAAGAACTAGAGAATAAGACTTGAGCCAAAGTCTCAAATTACCAAACAAAATTAGGGTCAGAGGAGGGCATGAAAGGAGGACAAAGATGTTAACTTGCTAAAGGATGCAGGTGATTCCACTGTGGGACAGGCCATGGTGTGCAGTGTGCCAGCTATGCTGCCCAGATCTGACATGTATCATGTATCTGTAAGGTGTTAAAGATGTCTTCCAAATGTTGTAGTTAGTCCAGAGTGAGGACATAGCAAGTCAGACCTACACTCTGCTTATGCAGAGGTACTTTATTGACAGACCTGAGTGCCTTTCTTACTTGTACATTTCATCAGATAAGAACAGAGGTGGATGGCACCACCTACTTCTCAGGAGTGGCAAATAGAGATTAGTGTGCAGTAGTTCTCTGTCTCCCTTGGCCAGCCTGAAACCCATAGTCTGGAAAGTGATCCTTGTGGAGCAAATTTTCATCATAAAATTATTCTGCTGTTTACATGAATACTTTTAGACATTGTTTAAAATATTTGAATTGTTATCCTATTTAAAGAGTGTTCTTTTTACCCTCTTGGTTAGGGTTTTGCCACTCTGATCCGAGAATGGCCCGGAGATCTGTACAACAATTCAGTAATAGTTCAAGCAGTTCGAGATCACCTGAAGAAAGATAGTCAGAACAGGACCTTACTTCAAACCCTTGCAGAATTGTGAGTATAATTTAGTGCTTCTTCTTTTCAAATCAATCTATATGGAAAGTTTTTCATATATTAGATCTAGTAAACTGAATAGGGAGGACACAGAGGACTGAGCCTTTTATACCATTTTTTTTATATTCACTCTTAGTGAAAACTTTTCATAAACCTTCAGTGCACAACAAAGAGGTAAGAAAAATGTGTGAAACTGCAATTGTAGTGTAATCTCTTCCCCAGAGAAGAATCCTAGTCAGCAATAGTGGGCAGTGGCAGTGGTTCTAGGAGGGAAGGATGCAGGTCTTAGATTAATTAGGCAAATTGAGGCTCTGGATTCTGTTGTTCTTGGATCTGTAAGTTGGTTAGTCTCTCAAACCTCAGACTCCTTTATGACCCTTTCCCTTCCCATGGACAAAGCCAAAGGAGGGTAGGATTGAGGGTGGTAGGTGGGGGTGGGAAAATGGAGACAACCGTATTGGAACATTAATTAAAAAATATCAAAAATAAATGTGCCCGAATAGCTTCTGCAGTTTTGAGAAAGAAGAGCAAAGTATATATGAGTATGAGTGTTTAATCAGAAGTATTGATGAACATTAATGTAAAAAATTTTTGTTACCAGGTACACCTATGACAAAAACTATGGCAACGCTCTGGAGATATACTTAACCTTAAGACATAAGGATGTTTTCCAGTTGATTCACAAGCATAATCTATTTAGCTCTATCAAGGATAAAATTGTTTTATTAATGGATTTTGATTCCGAGGTAATGTGTGGGGTTTTTTTATTAAATTTTAATACTGATAATTTATTTTTACTCTTCCAAATTGTTAGCAACTAGACATATATCCAAATGCTAGAATAGTAAATCACATACCGTGGCTGTGTGCCCATGATGTTCAGAGCACTTGGACCCTTTCTAGATGTTAGGTATTTTAGAAGCTGGCATTCAAAAATCCTTTATTTGATGTGATTTTTCTGTAAAAGCAATCATAATTTGATGTGTAACCTTTGAAATTTTGTGTGAAGTAAATTTTTAGTCAAACAATTCATGTAATTCATAGAAACAAATTGTATGTCCCAGAATTAAAATTTTAAGTAAACTTTTACTTCAATCTATTTATTGTAATTTTATTCCTTGGCATTTACAGATTTAGCATGTGTGGTGTCCATGGGTCTCAGATGACACTTAGGTCCAGGATAGGGAAGTATGTTATTTTATTTTAAGACAAATTTGAATGGTGGATTGCTTGATTAATGATGGCACCCAGCCTCCACAGCTCACAGCAGCTCTTGTACAGGCATGCAAACTCTGTGTGTATGTGTGTGTGTGTGTGTGTGTGTGTGTGTGTGTTTAAAAAAGAAAGCTAATGACAACTGCTAGTAATTGAAATAAAGAGGTTCATAAAACAGAGTAGTTCTTATTCACAAAATTAAAATTTTAGATAAAGAGGAGAACCTTAAGGATCTAAAATGTTTACTTGGAATTTTCAATTTTATTTTAATGTATTTAAGGGTATTATATGTTATATTATGTGTATGTATATTTTATATACATATACATATACCATGTGCTGTTTATTAGTCTTCACAAGCTTAAACTTAATTTAAATAGGAGCTAAATAGACCTCTTTTTTTCTGAAAAATGCTTTTAGCCCATTTTTCATTCTAAATGAATCAAATCCTTAGGAACTACAGACCTAAAAAGAATTAGTGCAGTTCCCAGGAAGTTTAGGTACACAGGTTCTCCTTCTTTGGCATAACATGATCAAGAGGATGAGATGCTTATATAAAAATTAATTACATTTGCCCATATCCTCATGCCTCTTTACTCATCTACCAGTATGTCTCAAGGGTCTAGTTTTTCATATGTAGTTATAGAAAAAAAGGTGAGTGAGCTGAAACTAATTACTATTTAAGAGTATGAACCAAAATTAAGGAATCATAGGGTTTTTTAATTATAACATATATATAGGATAATCTCTTCTAATACCTCATATTTCAGAGGGAAAAATTGTCTGGAGCAGAGAGGTAAGTAGTAGCAAAGGCAAGAACTGGACCCAGGTCTGGTGGGCTCTTGTTACAGACTCTAATTTGTGTTTCATGCATATTAAGAGTAGCTAACTTCTAAATTCTAAAGGTTCATAAGCCTTATATCATTATGAAACTTCAGGTATCTTACTTTTTTTTGGCTTTTATCTTCTTTATGTAAGACCAGCTCCTTAAATCTGTGAAATCTATAGAGGGAATTGGTTAATAATCAGATGACCAGAAGAAAAGCTTATTTTTGTGGTACAGGGAATAACACTTTCTCCCTAAGTACTGAGAGTCACGTGAGAACTTGTGAAGGTGTCTGAGACATCAAGGAGGCTGTAATACATGTAGTCAGGATAGTTTGTATTTGGTGAGCTATAACAAGATAACATTTCAATAGTATACAAAACACATAAACCTCAGATTGAGGCCCATTTTAAAATGCATTCTTTTATAAATATATCACTTACTGGTGGTTGAAAGCTAAGGGATTCCTTATGTATGGAAAATAAGCCTTCTACTATTAACTGTGACAGCATATGCATTATGTCATGTTCAATGATCTCTACTTAGATGGCAAATTTTAGTGACTGTGGCTATTGTTTTTTTATTTCAGAAAGCTGTTGACATGCTTTTGGACAATGAAGATAAAATTTCAGTGAGTGTCTTTTATTTTTGTATATATTACCAGGTCAGTATCTAGGACCATGATAGCCAAAAAGAGGAGAGATGTTTATCAGATAATTTTGCAGTTATGTTTGTATCCTCATAACTCTATGCTTAAAATTGTCTTTTTTCCCTAGATAAAAAAGGTAGTGGAAGAGTTAGAAGACAGACCAGAATTACAGCATGTGGTGAGCATGAAAGCTGTTTTCTGCTGCTCTTTTGATGGCCTAGTGGGGCACATCACTTTTCAGTATTGATGTGGGAATGCTGGAGAGAACTCTTCGGGTTAATACTCAGATAGAAGGTCTGACCACAAACAGTATTCCGTAATTATTAAAATTCAACATGTGCTCTGAATCCAGGTTAGGGATTAATTACAGATACGCCACTTTAATTTGATTCACAATTGAATTGTGATTTTTAAAAAGTTATCATATTCATTTTTGTATTATCAAACTGTGCCTGGGACTAAGCACTTCCTCCTATAGTTACTGTTTAATGTAATTATAGCATAAATTATAATACCACAGCATGATCAAGGAATGGAGTCTTGTTTTCTCATTCCTCACCTGCCAGTAGCAAACCCTACTTCTCTAGGGTGGTCTTGGTGGTGGTGATGTGAAGGCCCTTTTTCCTGGATTTCTTTTGGGGGAACACTTTGATTCTCTGCATTGCTATCATCATGTGAATAAAGAGGAGTAGATGTTTTCTACTTCCCTTAAAAATTATACAAGAAAAAGCTTCATTGAAAATAGGGATTATTCCTGTAGGACTATGAGCATCAAATACCATGCGTTCTCTTTATCTTTGCCCACTTTTCTGTACCCAGAAGGAGGCCATGGGAATAGAATATTTTATTCAAAAGTTAGTTTTGCCCTAAAACCCTGAAACACCAATCCAAAAGAACCTATGCACCCCAATGTTCATAGCAGCACAATTTACAATAGCTAAGTGCTGGAAACAACCTAAATGCCCATCAGTAAATGAGTGGATCAATAAACTATGGTACATTTACACAATGGAATACTATACAGCAGAAAGAAAGAAGGAGCTCCTACCCTTTGCGACCACATGGGTGGGATTGGAGAGTGTTATACTAAGTGAAGGGCAAATACCATAAGCCAGGCAGTGAAAGACAAATACCATATGATCTCACCTATAAATGGAACCTAATCAACAAAACTTACAAGCAAGCAAAATATAACCAGAAATATTGAAATTAACAAATGGACAATAACCAGAGGGGAGGTGGGAGGGGTTAATGGGGGATGTAGGGGGAAGGGTTTTCAGGAACATGTGTAAAGGACACATGGACAAAACCAAGGGGAGGTAGGATCAGCAGTGGGAGGTAGGAGGTGAGGATGGCTGGTGTGAGGGGAGTAGTGGGGGGGGGAAGACAACTGTACTTGAACAACAATAAAAAAGTTAGTTTTGTGCAGATGCTATTGCAATGTTGCTCATGATTAGAAATCTCAAGATCATTTTCTGGCCCAAGACAGGTGGCATTATGCTGGCCACCTTGGGATTTGTTTATAAAGCAGTGATTTCTGGACTCCTCATACCATGAGACAGGATTACAGGCAGTACGTATTTGTGTGACAAGTCTAATTAGTGCAGTGGTGAAATGGTGGCACAGCTCACACTAAAATGGTTCACCTTCCTGTCAGGTAATGTAATTTCTCTATAAATGTGCCTCAATAGATGTGACAGAACCTTCCTATCCTGTGTGTGCTCCTGGGAAATAGCACCAGGTGTCCAGCTCACACACTGATCCCGGACCAGAAGACTGATAGTCACCTTTATCAGACTGCATGGAGTTCTGTCCAGCTGCTCTCCCACTTTCTTGCTTTAGGGAGATGTGAACACTTAACCTGAAGAGTGGTTTCTCAGTATGCATCTGTCATAGTTAGGCTTCTTTTGTGACTGTATACAACTGTGAACATCAAATTTCACAATGATTCATTGTCAGTCACAGCTGCAAGGGCAGGCAGATGCTCTGTGGTTCTTTTGAACCATCACTCAGGGTGTGAGTGCAGTTTATATAAATGTTGTGATGAAATCTTTTCATCTCTGGTGGGTTGTGGGATGTTTGTTTACATTTAACATTGAACATTGATTTCTAGCTTCTTTGTAATATATTGATAGACTTACTCTTGCCTCTGAGTAGAAAGTGAATTCCTCATTTCCTTTGAAGTCCATTAACTGTTTTAAACAGCTAGGGAAAGGAATCCGTTTTAAAAATTGGTATAGAATACCTGTACTCCTCTTGATGTTTACTTGTTATTTTTGTTTTTGATGTCACCAGTACAGGCAGCATTTCATTGCAAACACAGATTCTCAATAATCCTAACAGACAGGAGATGAGGACTATATGAGAATTTACTTAGTGCTTGCTGCTTGAATTTTTTTTTTCCAGTATGGACACTTTAATGATCTTAATTCTTCCAATCCATGAATCCAGTATATGTTTCCCTTTATTTGTGTCTTCCTTAATTTATTTCTTCAGTGTTCTGTAGTTTTCTTTTTTTTTTTTAATTTTTGTTCAAGTACAGTCGTTTCCATTTTCATCCCCCACAGCCCCCTTGCCCCACCCATCCCTGCCTCCCATCCTCAAACCTATCCCCTTTGGCTTTATCCATGTGTCCTTTATACATGTTCCTTGGTGGACCTTTCCGTATTTTCCCCCATTATCCCCTCCCCACTGCCCTCTGGTTACTGTCAGTTTGTTCTTTATTTCAGTGTCTCTGGTCATATTTTGCTTGCTTGTTTGTTTTGTTGATTACGTTCCATTTGTAGGTAAGATCCTATGGTATTTATCTGTCTTCCACCACTTTGGCAATTTTGAGAAAGAACAAAGTAGGAGGGATAACAATACCTGATATAAAACTATATTATGAGGCCACTGTAGTCAAAACAGCCTAGTACTACCATAAGAACAGACACATAGACCAATGGAACAGAATAGAGAGCCCAGAAATAAACCCAAGTCTCTATGGTCAATTAATATTCAACAAAGAGAACTGAAACATAAAATGGAGTTAAAATAGCCTCTTCAACAAATGGTGCTGGGAGATCCGGTCAGCTACATGCAGAAAAATGAAACTCAATCACCAACTTACACCATACACAAAAATAAATTCAAAGTGGAGAAAAGACTTAAATGTAAGTCACGATACCATAAAAGTCCTAGAGGAGAACATAGGCAGGAAAATCTCAGATATTTCATGCTGCTTGAATTTTTAAGACCATATTCTTATCCCATGATTCTCCTCCTTATATATAAAGGCAAGAATTTTTATGCTCTAGAAAGACCATTAATCAAGCCTTTTATTTCTGAGGCAGAGGAGATGATGGTGACAGTATTAACAACTATGGTTTACACTTGAACAATGCTGGGGTTAACCCACAAAGTTGAAAATTCAAGGATAACTTTTGACTCCTCCAAAACTTAGCTACCTTACCCCCTGCACCCTGGGTAATTGGTTCCAAGACCCCCTGCAGATACCAAAATGTGCAGATGCTGAAGTTCCTTATATAAAATGGTGTAGAACAATGCATACACTCAGCCCTCCACATCCAACAGCTGATTCCCAACAGCAGATCAAAAATCCTGGTTTTGATCTTCACTTAGTTGAATCCACAAATGCAAACCCCAGGATATAGAGGGCTGATTATATGTTTATTGAACAAAATCAGCATGTAAGTAGACCCACACAGTTCAAACCCATGTTGCACCAAGGGTCAACTCTACTATCCTTAACATTTCTGTAGTGCTTACTGTATGTCAGGCATGGTTCTGAGAAATTTACAAATGATAACTCATTCAAGCCTCACAACAACTCAATGAGATTTTAGCAGATAAAGAAACTCAATCACAGAGAGGTTAGTGACTTTCCAAGGTCACCTGGTTAGTAAGTGATAGAGCCAAGTTACTCTGGGTCATTCTAGAGAAAGTGTTAGAATTTCTTTACTCTCACAAAGATATTTCTCTTACATTCAGTTTTTTTTCTCTAGAAACTTCTTTCCTCCAGCCTCTCTGTGGAAGCTGTTTAGAATTGAAAATAGCAGTGTTAAACAGGTATTGCTTTTCTTATTATAACATTCATGGTTTATTCCTTTGTTTTGTTTAGTATCTGCATAAGCTTTTCAAGAGAGACCACCATAAGGGGCAGTGCTACCATGAAAAACAGATCAGCCTTTACGCTGAATACGACCGACCAAACTTACTTCCATTTCTCCGAGATAGTACCCACTGCCCACTTGAAAAGGTAAGTTATAGCCTCCCCCACTCACACACTTCAGCAGGGGAAGTTGTCATCATAGGTAAGCTCTTGTTTTTTCTAGTTTCCCTGTCTCTGCTCACCTATCCCTCTTCAAGGTGAAGACTGTTGCTCTAGGTTTCATTGGGGCATTCTGATGAGAAGTGCAGGTCCTGATAGATTAGATTTGGGTTAGGAGCTCAAGTATTTCTGTGCCAGGTTTAATTGTAATGAAGGTTTATAATCTAGGGTCTAGGATTCATTCACATAGCAGAAACTGTCAGGAGTCTGAGTCACTTTACCAGGATTAGCACAGGACCTCAGAGTCAGCCTGGTGGGGAGACAAGGACTGGTAGGCCCTGGACCCTGTCTGCTTTAAATACCCACCTCATGTGTTTATGTATTTCTGTCTCATGCTGCATTTTATTTCTCTAGCATACTACACCAATCATAACTATAATAAATAAATAAATAAATATATATATATAAGTGTCTCTTTCTTACTGTCTTGTAAATTCTACAAGGACAAGGAGTTTTTCTTTCTTATTTTGGTGAACCCAGTAACCAGCACACATTAGACATTTAATGTTTGTTGCATCATGAGTGAGTACATAAATGACCAAATTAATACACACGAGGTTCTAGTTAGGGTGAATACAAACTATCAAGTTTTATATACTTGCTGTTTCAAAATAATCTGTAATACTCCCTGTGAAAGTACTAGAAACTAAGCAATCTAAGGCCGTCAGTATTGTTTCCAGTGATTTTTGATAACGTCTGGAATGCTATCTAACATCTACAAGTGTCTTACTAAATTTAGATAGCCATATAACAAATACTTTTCAACAAAACAAAAAAGCATTTGACTCATAAGAAATACGTAGTAAGAAGTTGATTGATAACATGTACCTTATGTGTACTCACTACCTAGTTGCTTCTTCAACCCATGATTATTAATTTTATTTATTTATTTAAATTTTCTTTATTTAGTTTTAGAGAGAGGGGAAGGAAGGGAGAAAGAGAGAGAAACATCAATGTGTGGTTGCCTCTTGTATTCTCCCTACTGGAGACCTGGCCTGCAACCCAGGCATGTGCCCTGACTGGGAATCAGTCCGGCGACCCTCTGGTTCACCAGCCGGCCAGCACTTATTGCACTGAGCCACACCAGGCAGGGTATCGAATAATTTTAAATATGTTGGACTTACTATGAACCAGTGTCAGCTCAGTGGATTTTCAAAATCTAGTTAATGAAAAAAATACCTTACCTGCATATTACCTTGATTTATGAAAAAACTTTAATATTTTATATTTGAGCCCTAAGACATTCTCTCAAGAATACATTTGGAAATACATCATTTTACTTTAAAAATAAAAGCAAATGTTCCCCTTTTTTTCTAACTATGGAACCTATAATCTAGAAAAGGAATGAGAATCTTACTCTTTGCACAGTGCCCTTTCATTTGTATCTCATTTTTGAGAAAACATTGTTTGTTTCCAGGAAGACATTGCTGTCTGTGGTTGAAGGACTCCTTCTTATTCACTGAACACAGGAACAGAGGTGCTACCCAAATTCCAATATGTTTGTTACTCACACACTTTCCACCCATCTGGTTTACAGTTCAACAGAAAGTGCACTGCTCCACTTGAAGGGGAGCATCAGCAAATTTGCAAACCTACAAATGGTACTTCTAACACATAGAATTCGCTTAGAGAATTGTGTAGACTTTGTAGAATTTTTCTCTCATCTACTGAGAAGAACAAATTGCATGTAAAAAAAGTTGACACAAGCATATTGAAACTAATTATGTTTTAAATAGTTTTTTTTTTTTTAGTTATCTCATGTTTTCCACTGAAAGAGAATTTTGAATAAAATGGATTAGAGATGGTAATGGTGGAAACATGGCATTGTAAAATAATCAAGTCAAAAACCCACATTTTTAGAGCTCCTTAAATGGGCTTTTATGTTACAGGTCATTTAGACTTCTTCATGAGAGATTATTTTTTCATCAGGCTCCATTGTGGGAAATTTGTATATTTGCAAAAAACATGTCACTATTTTTGCTCAGGTACCCAAAGCCATATTAAAGGAGACATTCTTGACTTTATTAACTCATGAAGGATCTCATTCCTTTTGCTCTAGAAGTAAGAACTCTGTATATATTTACTCATCTTAGAAACTAATTCCTTTTATGTTTACTTGTAACATGAAAAATCTACCAATTCATAAAAAGCAAAATAGGTTTTCCCCCAGTAAATGTCTCCCAAGCCGGCTAACAGTGAAGTGAAGGTCATGGAGTTCATGCTCACCTGTTTTGTCTAAAGACAGACTCAGAAAAGCTGGTCTTTTTTTCTGGATATAAAGTTAAGAACTTAAAATTTTTAATGCCCCTCCCACCCCAGAAGTCTGTACTTCATAATATCTTGTAGATTGTTTAGTCTCATAGATGCTTAGGTGGTATTTTGATTTTTGTTTTTATTTAAAATGAGAGGTGTTTAAGGTTTCAAGGCATTATTCAGAGCATGTTGACCTACTGTTGTTCATAATTCACTTCTGGCAGAATAGCAGCTCTGTCTTCCTCATTTCTGCTTGTTCAACTTTGCTGGGATTGGGTAATTGTTGACAGGAGAGGTAGGTTGGAATCTTCAAGAATCCAAGTCAGAGTTACTTTGAATTGATTGAAATCCCACAATCAAGGGTATTTGGCCAAAAACTTTTTAGAATCTATGACATGACATCAGAAGCCCCTTAGGATTATCAAAGACTAGAGTTCAAGATTTAAAATCACCAGAACTCTTAAATTCCAAAATTAATCATAAACATCTGTGAAATTGTTCAATATAAAGGATATACAAAGGTAGTAAGGATATAGGGGTGTTCAACCTTTTGGCGTCTCTGGGCGACACAGGAAGAAGAAGAGATGTCTTGGGCCACACATTAAATGCATTACAAGATGTAATCACAGAAAAATATCTCATGATATTTTAAATAAATTTAGTTTTGTATTGGACCTTATTCATAGCCATCCCAGGTCCCAGACTGGCTGCAGGTTGGACACCCCTGATTCTACAGCAGATTAAAAAGAATAAAATTATTTGTTTATATTGTGCTTTATAATATGTGCTGTGCTTTCATGTACCTTGTTTTTTATTTAGTGTAGGTAGGTGGTTAAAGTCATTTTGTACATGACAAACTGAGTCTTCAGGGGTTGAAAGAAACACCCCAAAGTCTAGAGCTAATAAGTTAAAGAACCAAGCCTTGGAACCTGGATGTCTTAACTTCAGGTCCCATATTCTTTACACTATGGTGAGGAAATATTTTTCTGGTTTAAAAAGCTAATTAAAATAGTAACAAAAACAATATTAAAGATATTTTCTAATATTGCAAGAATCGTGAAAGATATAATCTTTTTTTTTTTAGTGAAAGGGAAACTTTATTTTGGCCCCAGTTAGGTGGAAGTGTAGGCCAGAGGAGGTGATGGAGGGGCCTTATTTAACCTTCTTGGGGCGCAGGTTGCTGGTGTGGTCACACCTCTTGCAGCAGTTGACAGTGCAGGGGTGCAGGCAGGCATAACACTTGCAGCAGGTCATCTTATCACAGTTGCACTTCTGGGTGAGCTGGCGGAGGGAGGGCTCAATGATGCCACCATGTAGGCAAAGCACTAAGTGCAGGGTGGACCGTTTCTGAATGTTGTAGTCTGAGAGAATGTAGCCATCCTCTAGCCGTTGGCCCGCAAAAATCAGTCACAGCTGGTTAGGTGGGATGCCCTCCTTGTCTTGGATTTTAGCTTTGACATTCTCAACCTTGTCAGGGCTCAGGCTCAAGGATGATGGTCTTGCCAGTCAAGGTCTTCACAAAGATCTGCATCTCTGTGTTTGCTGGGGAGGCCGCAATCAACACACCCCGCCACCTCATTTGAAAGATACAAGTCTTTAAACTGTGAAGCTGGCCTTCTATAATTTCCAGGTTTGGAAATCAGGCATAAGTTTTTGCAAATCTGACTTGCTTATGCACAGAATAGTTAAAAGCAGAATATCTGCTTAATAGCTTTAGCAAATTTATATTTTAATGTATGATCTCTCTTATCTAGTGGTGTTAACAGGGTGGCAGTATTTATGAATTTGGAGAAATAAAGCTGGGAAACATAAAGTTAGTAGATTTTCATTAAATAAATTTAAAGACAAAATTAGATAAAAGATGACAGGCTCAAGGCAAGGTAGAAATAATTATTTAATTTATGGTTGATCAGGTTCCTGTTAGTTACCCCCAAACTTCTATGTTCCTTACCAATATACTAAATAAGAAAAAGAAAACTAAAATTATGTTTTACTCAATTTCTGTCATTATTCTTTTCACCTTTATTTTTAGTATTATTCTCTTCTTACCTGTGTGTCCTGTTAGCTTTAAAAATCTTTGTTTCCCCAACCCAGTGACTGGGTTGCCCCGCCCTGGTCAACACCTAAGCCTCCATCCCTCATATGTAACAGGCGTGACAAGACCAAAAAAAAAAAAAAAAAGGCCCAAATGGAAGAACAGATCAAAGTTCCACAGTAAATACAACTAAGTGATCAAGAGATAGCCAATCTATCAGATGCACAGTTCAAAGCACTGGTGATCAGGATGCTCACAGAATTGGTTGAATTTGGTTGCAAATTAGATGAAAAAATTAAGGCTACACTAAGTGAAATGAAGGAAAATGCACAGGGAACCAATAGTGATGGGAAGGAAACTGGGACTCAAATCAATGGAGTGGACCAGAAGGAAGAAACAACCAAACAGAAAAGAATGAAGAAACAAGAATTCAAAAAAATGAGGAGAGGCTTAGGAACATCCAGGACATCTTTAAACATTCCAACATCCAAATTATAGGTGTACCAGAAGGGGAAGAGGAAAAGCAACAAGTGGAAAACTTACTTGAACAAATAATAAAGGAAAACTTCCCCAATCTGGCAAAGGAAATAGACTTCTAGGAAGTCCAGGAAGCTCAGAGAGTCCCAAAGAAGTTGGACCCAAGGAGGAACACACCAAGGCACTTCATAATTACATTACCCAAAAGTAAAATGAAGGAGAGAATCCTAGAAGCAGTAAGAGATAAGGGGACAGTAACCTATAAAGGAGTTCCCATCAGACTGTCAGCTGATTTCTCAAAAGAGACCTTGCAGGCAAGAAGCGGCTGGAAAGAAATTCAAAGTCATGAAAGGCAAGGACCTACATCCAAGATTGCTCTATCCAGCAAAGCTTTCATTTAGAATGGAAAGACAGATAAAGTGCTTCTCAGATAAGGTCAAGTTAAAGAAGTTCATCATCACCAAGCCCTTATTTTATGAAATGTTAAAGGGACTTATCTAAGAAAAGAAGATAAAAAACATGTATAGTAAAATGACAGCAAACTCACAATTATTAACAACCACACCTAAAACAAAAACAAACTAAGCAAACAGAACAGGAACAGAACCACAGAAATGGAGATCACTTGGAAGGTTAGCGACAGGGGAGTGGGAGGAGGAGAGGAAGGGAAAAGGTAGAGAATAAGTAGCATAGATGGTAGGTAGAAAATAGACAGGGGGAAGGCAAGAATAGTATGGGAAATGTAGAAGCTAAAGAACTTATGACACATGGACATGAACTAAAGGAGGGGGATATGGGTGGGAGAGGGTGTGCAGGGTGGAGGGGAATGAAGGGGGGGAAATGGGACAACTGTAATAGCATAATCAATAAAATATATTTTTTAAAAAATCTTTGTTTCCTTACTCTTTCCTCTAGAGGGAGCACTATGGCCCAGGAACATTCAAGAATCTAAAATAAGGAAGCATGCTTTTATGCTTCACTGTGGTCAACAATAGAAAAAAACCTTCATATCAGAAATATTTTTTACACTTTACTCAGAACTGCTAGAGATTAATCTAGAAGTTCTACTTTCTCATATATGAGAAAGGATAATTTAAGATACTGTTAGGAACCAGTCGTAAAACATTTAAAAATCTGTGAAATTCAAATTTCAGAGACTCTTTGAGCTTGGTGTGACACATCTGCTTATACTCCAGACCATTCTTAACTTCTGACTTGCATTTAGATATTTTTTGTATATGAATGACCATTTTTGATAGTACCCTAAAAGAGCTTTCAGCAGCACCATCCTGTACAATGCTCTGCAACTATTTGAAATGTGGCTAGTGAGGAACTGAATTTTTAATTTAACTTAAATTTAAGTAGCCATATGTATGTAGCAAGTGGCTGCTGCCTTGGATGGCTCAGAAGAGCCCTCAGACTGCAAATTCTTTGTGATTTCAGACAAACATGTTCTGAAGAATTTACATTTGCTCAAGAAAAGGGGATGTGGTTTTGTTGGAAACTTCTGCTAGGACTTTTAAATGGCAGTAAACTTCCAAGTACATAATTGGTTTATGGATACCTCTCAGTAATAAAATACTTGAGGCAGCATATTCATCTTTAATCACACTATCTTGCTCTAAACATTGTACCTATCCAATTGTGTTACCATTATCTGTTTATCTGTGAATGACAGTCCCACTAAACCATAGACTATCCATCAGCTAGCACAAATCTAAGCACTTAGTTGGTTTCTCAATAATTTTTTGTTGAAATAGTCCCAGGTCCTCCGATTTCAGGTTTTTTGCTTTTTCCCTTACTATTTAAACTTCTCACATGTGTATCCCTGAAGCTTCTCTACTATCATACTAGAAGAGTTAAGAGTTGGTAAGGGTATGTTGGTAGAGAGAGAAGTAAACCATATTTTTAATCAAAATGAATGAGGTTTTTTCTAAGTGATAGTTAGGATTGGATTCAGCTGTAAGTGGTAAAAATCCCCAAATGATAGTGGCTTAAACAGAGTAGCAATGTTCTCTGTCACATGGATATCCTGGTGGAGTGTCCCTGCTGGTGGTAGCATGCCACCAGGCCTGAAACCCAGGCCCTTTTCTTTTGTTCCCCGACCTTGTATGACCCTGACCTCATGATATGAGACAGTAGCATCCTTGTTTCCAGGATCAGATTGGATGAAAGGACTAAAAATAAAAAAAGCAAAGGGTTCACACATGCCGCTTCATAAAGAACCTTTCCAGAAGCTTCCATATTTCTGTTTCATCTCTGGGGGCATTAATCACATAGGTTTCACCTACCATGTGGAGACTCAAAGATATTTTTATTTTTTTAATTCTGGGCAGGTTCACACACACCTGACTGATTTGTATACTTTAAAATGTCATCCAAATTTCATTGTCATGCCAAAGTAAGGTGTTATTTTTTTCCTTTTTTATGTTTTATTTGGGTTTTACCCCCTACATTGATCTCTAAGATTAGCTGTTCTTCTCCCTTTTAGTTGTTAATCCTCCAACAAAAGACATAGATTTAAATATATATTTTACACAATATTTTAAGTAAAAAATCAGAATTTCAAAACTAGCTCCTGCTTGTCATTTCCCAAGGTAGATTATTGAGCCGAAAGAGCTAATTACCCTGAACTGTTCTATCTCCTTCGTTCTTGTTTTTAAAACAAACTTGGCTGTTTTTCAATAATTATTGTAACTATGCAATCCAGTAATCTTCCTCCTGAGACCTTTTTTGCCTGCTCATTTATTGAAAAAAAATTTATTGCACACCCATAAGCCAGTCATGCAAAAAAGGACAGGGCTTGAGGTACTCATGGTCCCAGCTGACAGAAATCAGAGAAATGGGAGTTTGTGAAGATGGGTGTGGGTATAAGCAGAGTTAAGTGCCTGGGTTCTGACCTAGTGTGGGTCCAATGAGGATTTGTCTGAAGGATTTGCCAGGGGTGGAGAGTGGTGAGGGAGGGCAGCATTCCAGGTCCAGGGGTCAATAGCATAGAGATGAACAGGGTGTGAGGTGTTGCTACACAAAGTGGCAGGGCATCCGAGGGCACATTAAAGATTCTCCACTTTAAGTTGGAGCAGAATAACAGTTGGAGGGTTCCATAGTAGATGTGTGAGGGAGGTTCCTGGTGAGCTCTTAATCTTCATACTGTACCCCATTCAGATGCTGCCTCCTCTGTGAAGCTGATGTCGTATATCTGTGCACATAGCCCTCTGTTCATGTTCCCTCTGGTCATGGGATTCTATGTTGTCATATCTCTGCCACATTCTAGACTCTGTACTCCCTGGTGGACTCATGCTGCCTCCCTCTCTCCTGAGCCACCTCCATTTCCTCCTTGTTGCCCTTTGATATGTCACCAGTCAGCATTTGTGTTACTATCATCTTTGAACCTCCATCCAGCCTGACTCTCTAGTGCCCAGCAGAGTGTAAATTTGTGCCAATTCATTTACATTATTGAATTATTTATAATCACCTATTGTTTTACTCAAGGAAATGCTGTCATTTGTCTATTTCCTCATTTCTTCACTTGATCTCCTTCTTGATCCTTCCAAATTGTTAGATATGTTTTTTCTCTCTCGCTTTTGACAGATCCTTGAACAGAGTTATTTAAAACCTGTAAGCTAGCAGTGGAAATATTCCCAGTATTTATTTATGTAACAAATGCTTACTGAGCTGTGGTACACTCTCTACTGGGAACATGCTCAGTAGACCTGGACAGGTCCTTCCTGCAGCTACATCCCAGTGAAGGGAAACAGAGTATAAACCAGGGACTGTGGGTCAGTTGGGGGACAGGAAAGCTGTGAAGCAGCCTAAAGCAGCATAAAAGAGAGCAAGCTTGGTGGGAAAGGGCCTTTCAGCATGTTGCTTTCTGTCTTTACTCATGGAATGTTTGGAGCTGTATATTAGTGCTTAAATTGCATAGGAACCAGCACCTCTGTGAGAGATGAATGGGCACAGCCACCAGTAACACCTAAGGAGATCTGTGTTTTTATATGTTTGCTTCCTTTTTTTTTTTTAAGTGAGGCAGTGGAAAAAATCTTTCAAACTTGTGTGTTTTCAGTGATTCTATTAACATTTGTTCTTTCTGGTAACTCAGTAATATTTTCCCCTGCTTTATTTGAAGGCTCTTGAGATATGCCAACAGAGAAACTTTGTGGAAGAGACAGTTTATCTTCTGAGTAAGTAGTTTTCACTCATTTTGGCCCCCATAAACTAAGAAATGGGGTGACAATGTGATTTAAATTGTCTAGGAATTGACATAGGTTTTAAACCAAAGTAACTGGGAGGTTAAAACCAATTTTATATAAGAATTTAATACATGGAAAAGGAGTGAGTCTTCACAGCTCAGTAGAGAAGGAAGAGTTATTTAATAAGTGCTGATGAGGTAACTTATTAGTACTGTATAATAAACATATTGGCTTATATTACCACCGTCTTGATAGAAATTAAATAATGTTCATTTTCAAAAATCATACCCTAAATAATGGAGGGAATGTGATTGAATATCAGAATTTTCAAAAGAGAAAAAGTTTTTAATATGATATAGCTGTCAGTTGTCCCTGGTCCTGAGGTTGCTACTTCTACATGTATCATAGTCTTTGTACCATGTAAACCATGAAAAAGAACTTAGTATCTTTTAACATTCTCCCAAAATGAACCACTTGCATGAAAGCAATGTAGACTCTTAAAGATTTCCTAAGGGAGCTCTGTGCAGATATTTGTACCTAAAACAGAGTTCATATTAGGTGTTCCTCCAGCCAGTGTCACTTCTCTTCCCTACAACAGTAGGGTTTTTCCACTTCATGTCTTCCCCTCTTACAGCACTCAGCTTCATTGGCTTCTTGGGCTTCTCTAGTGAAAATAATTCAAATCTTGTGTTCTGATTAATGGGTATGCAGATTTATAGATATTTAACAGCAAACCTAAAACTGTTCATCAGTTCTAGGACCTACTATCCTTAGGAAAAGTGTTTTGGGACAGTGTTTTTATAATTTATGTTATTGCGGTTCCAATCACAATCTCAAGTAGCTCATCAGTTTACCTCTTCCAAACAGAATGGCTTCCAAGATAAATTCTAGAAAATTTTTGCCATAATGTCATATTGTCTTAGAAGCAGAAATGAACTTACAAGAAAAACATAGTATCCTTCCTAAGTTATAAAATCTTAAAAATCATACACACATTTTTTAAAAATGAGGGATTTTGTAAAGACAAATTGCGGGAATAATATAGGAAAAGCAAAATGCTATAGAAGATACAACAAATGGGATATAATTTTATGTACACGCCAGCTGTTATCATTTGATAATGGCTGCCTAGAGCGAGGAGGACTTGAGGTCATTAACAGTTCCTGCTGTGGGCCAGGGGCCAAGGCCAAGGGTGATAGCCCACAGCCAGGCAGTTGCTGTCCTTGCACTGAGTAAAGTATTCTATGTGTACTGTATTAAAAACTCATGGAAATTGTTACCAAAATCATTAAAATGCCAATAAATCAGTGAGCAGAATATATGAAGATAATTGATCAAATAGAAACATAGTAAGTTCTTTTATTTCATGAGAGTTATTGAAAGGCTTTCCCATGATCTTGAAAAAGAAGGAAGATGAGGTGGCCCTCTGATAATTGAATTTGAAGCTGGCACACACTGTATCAGAAGAGCAATATGCAAAGCTACCTAAAGAGGCAGAAGGACTCCAAGGCCTTTATTTATAATTATTTTTTAATGTATTTAATTTTAAAATTTTTAATTGTTTATTGGGGTGACATTGGTTAATAAAATTATATAGGTTTCAGGTGTACAGTTCTATAATACACCATCTATATATTGTATTGTGTGTTCACCACCCCAAGTCAGGTCTCTGTCCATCACCATTTACTCCCACTTTACCTTCTGCTTCCTCCCTTGACCCTCTTTTCCATCCCTTCACCTTTTTTTCACCCAGCCTTTTAAAAGTCTTAATTGTATCTAGGTATAAAGTCATTCAAAAGAAATACAGGCCTGTGACCAGGAAGTCAGCATCTGACATACCAAATCTGCCACTGAACAGAAAGTTACTAACATTTTTGTGTCCTCTTCTATAAAATAGCAAAATATTAGTATAACATACCTCTTAGGATTTCAGTGATGATGAAGTGATGTCATTTGTGTGAAGAACTTAAATGAGTACACAGCACATAGAACACACCCAGTAAATAGCAGACATTTATTTTACCATGTTATGTTAATGTCACATATGAAAATATACTTTTAGCTTTCAAACTGTGTAAACAAATTATGAAGTATGCTGTTTCTTTAACAATACTTTATTAAAGTGTCCTAAATGAAGTATTTCTCACATCTTTTCTAGGCCGAATGGGTAATAGCCGAAGTGCCCTGAAGATGATCATGGAGGAATTACATGATGTTGATAAAGCGATTGAATTTGCCAAGGAGCAGGACGATGGAGAGCTCTGGGAAGATCTGATTTTATACTCCATCGACAAACCACGTAAGCAGAAAAGCCATCTGCTGTCATAATTTTTTTCTCTCAGAATAGCCAGTTATGTCTACAGTAAGAATTACCTCAAGACACATTGAGTTAAAAATATGGTTAAGTATTTTTAATAAAAGCAGGCCACATTTTAACACTTTGCAATACTATTCCTGTGCAGAGAGGCCTAGAGCCCCATCACTTTGTGTTACCTGAAAGTGATAAAGAACAAGTGCTTAACTTAATGATAGTAATTGTGTCCCCATGAAGCATATTTTTACCTACTGCACCAGGAATATATTTGTTGGCCCTCTGCTTGACCATTTGCCGTGGGTCTCCCATTTTGGAAAGAAACAAAAGCGGGTTCCTAACAGTAACCCAGGTTCTCTTTTGGAGAAAAAAGAAATGATTCAGAATCTAGCAATAGTGGTTTAAATCTTCCCCCTTCTCTTTTTTATTTTTTAGTTAGAAGGCTTATCTGTTTCAAAATTTTCAGATTCTAGAAATTGCTGTTATAATTATCTTTTTAATAAAGAGGTGTAAGAGGATAATGTTAATGTGACAAGAGTAGTAGTTTAAGGATCTCAAAAGAAGCAAAGTGAGTATAATATAATACATAGTGAACTGTCTGGCCTGAGTTTGAATTTGGGCTTGTAACTTGCTAGCAGTATGGATGGATTAGTTAACCACTCCATGTCCCATTGCTGTAAAATGGAGACAAATAGCATTCCTACCTCACAGATAGCTGAATCATAGTAGTTGCACACCCTTTAACATTGCAGACAGTATTCTGAAGTAGTCATTTGTGCTTTGTTTTAAATTCTTTAAATTTAGCTTCTCCTTTGTGTCATGAGGAAAGTAAAGGAAGATTAGTTCTTGAGAGTTAGAAATTCAAACTTGTTATCCTGCTGAAAGAAAATCTTGTGTCAATCATTTTTGATTTTGCCTTCATGAGGGTAAAGTCATGATGGACGGACATGGACAATTCAAAAAAAAGAAGAAAAAATTCAAATTTGAAGGAAATAGTTTTATCTTTGAGTTACTTTTGGCTTAAAGTTGCATTATGTGTGCGGGGAGCTCAGCCCACAGAGCCTCCCCAACCCCCATCCACCACAGATGAGAATAAGTGTACAAAGACATGATCTGCTTGGAGAGGAAAGGTAGACGATCTCTCAAAGGAGAAGAGCTAGGAGCCTGTTCCTCAATGGGCTTTTATTGGGTTTAATTTGCATAGGAATACAGGGTGTATACATAAAGCTCAATCATTGTCAGGCAGTAAGGATAAAACAATAGATAACATTCAGAGAACTCTGAGGGCTTATTTTGAGTCAGGGTCAGATAGCTAAAGGGCCATAAAACTTTGGGGAACAAACTCATTTCATGCTTGGACCCTTATCATTTAAATTGAGGGTATTAGCAAAGCAGGTTTCAAAGGATTTTATGCATTCTTTCTTAGGCCCAATCACCCAAGGGAACCTACCATTTCCAGCACAGGGCCACACCCACCTTGGGCATTGTTTCAGGCTTAAAGCATAGTTTCAGGCCTAAATCAGGCAGGGGAAGTAAGGCAGCCAAGAGATTAGGAGACTTCTTGCAGACAGAATGAGGAATCAGGCTATGTCAAAGCCAAGGGGCTAGGGTCCATCACCCCCTTTTTCTATAGGCCCCCAAGCCCTTCCCTGAGGGCCCCGTTGCGACCATGCCTGTTTTAGGTCATCCCTCCCTTGAGAAATCTTACCCATCATTGGCTAACAGTCATCCATCTGGGGCAAGCAGGGTGAAGTGAAAAGGGGAAGAGGCAGTGCCTGCAAGGAAGATAAGATTTGTCTCCTAAGTGGCTTGCGGTCCCAAGGTCTTTTTACTCAGCTTTAGCCATGGGAGGTTACAACTTCTGAAACCAATTGGACAGTTCCCAATAATTATGTACATTGCCTGTCTGTTGTTTTTTTGTGGTATTTTGTAGCATTCATTACTGGCTTGTTAAACAACATTGGCACACATGTTGACCCAATTCTGCTGATTCACCGTATCAAGGAAGGAATGGAGATTCCCAATTTGAGAGATTCCTTGGTTAAGATTCTGCAAGATTACAATTTACAAGTAAGTATCCTTTCTTGGAGAAATAAACATGCTGAGTGAGTTGATAACTATGGATAAACTTTTCTAGGTTTATTTTAGGTATCAGTAGAATCATTCAATTTGATACTTATATTTTATATAGATCCAGATATTTGGAAAACTGTTCAAATAAAGAAACTAAGAAATATCACCCTTTAAGGAAGCCATCTGATTTTGAACTATCCCCAAATTTTCTCTTATTGATGAGTAGGCATCCTTACATTTATGTGGTAGATACAGCATGGCACTGGGGAAGGGGTAGTTACCATGGCCATTAGATCAAACCACCCAAACCATTTTGAGTAAAATGGGTATTATGTCCATTTGAGAGAATAAAAAAAATATTTTTCAAATAGTTTAATAATTCCCTTGAAGCTGCTCAGTAACCTATTGCCCAAAATATGTTAAAATTCTATCTTTTATTTAACCATTTGTCTGTTTCCTAGATGAGTACCATTTTTTTATCTGTAATAATTTAGAATGTGTGATAAGAGCATTGAAACACTATTTTCATATAAATTAATATGCTAATTACATAGTATCCCAATCTTTTCTTTAAAAGGACTGTTAACAATTATTATTTTTTAGGATGCCGGTTGCTGCCACAGAACTATTTCAAACATATTTCTTTAATAGATCAGACTATTCTTTGTCTAATTTATTTGAAAATGAGTTTTTGCTATAATGTGGATGAAATTGCTTTCCTGGAAACAAGATTTTTTCAGACAGAGCTGAAAGATAGGGTGTGGGGAAGAGAAGTGGTAATTGGGCTAAGTAAGGAGAGAGGGGGTCATGATTAGAATTTGTGGGGCCCGCAGTCACTATAAAGGGTGCAAGTGCAGCTGCCTGTTGGACTTGGGCGGTGGCCTCAGTTAAGAGGCAGGGCGAGAAGCAGGAGAAATTAAGGAAGATTGTTGGCACAAGAGGAGATGTAGGAGATACAAAGGAGTGACAGAGCTGGAGGGACAAGAGCTGTGGCCAGAGAGTGGGATATTGTCACATTAAAATTTCTGGAGTCACTTCAAACATGTTCAAAGAGTGGGATGAAGGTAAAGATCATTGGAGGAATTGTGGAGAAGCTGTGAGGGCACAGTGAGTCATCCAAATGGGCACAGAGGAGGGAGGAGTGGGGACTGTAAGCCAGGCTCCAGCATTCTCAGTGAGCTGGGAGCTTAGATGCACAGCCCACAGGTGACTGTGGTATTAGTGGGTAACAAAACTTTAAAGGAGAAGAGGTTTCCTGGAGGTGGGATGTGAGAGAACAAGAAGCCTTCACTCAGGAGGGCTTATGGGAATTCAGGGTCCTGGGAGAGAAACAGGTTAAGGTAAAGAGGAAGAGAGGCCAATTCTGCAAAATACTCCAAAATATACAGCTATTTATTTACAGTGGAATTTGGAGGTTCGCAGATGACCCAAGGAATGGAGATCAGAAGGGGAATGAGAAAATTAAGGAAGGAAAGAGTAACATGGGAGTGGATCAGTAGTTGAGTAGAGGTGGTGACAAGAGGAGCTTGCGTTGTGTAGTAGTACCCAAGGGATGCAGAAGAGCAATCCAGGCAGGGAATAAGTTACTAATTCTGAGGCTTAGCATGGGACTTTGGGTGAAGTGGTTTCACAGTCTGACCTTTTAAAGCTCAGGGTATGAGTGAGCTTGATAATGGTCTATATTTCACCGGCTCTTAACTACCCCTGAGTGTGCTGGGATATGCTCAGTTTCTAATCCAAATTTGTGAAGAAGCCATTTAGGTGTCTTTGAACAGTTCTACCCTGAGGAAGGTGATGAAATAATTACCCCTTCTATCCTCCAGCTATAGTGCATGAAGCCTAGCCTGTGGGTTGAAAAATGTGCCACTTTTTTCCCAGCTTCTACAATGCCTATAGAAATGCCTAGTAAATCCCTGTTACTAGGCTCTCAACCTAGAGAGCCAAGGTCATGGACACTACTGGGTATCACTGCTCATTCATTTTTTCATGAATAAGTTTGCATAGTTCTGAGTCAACTGGAGTAAAAATAAAATTATTAATGTAGAATGAATTCCATATAAAAGATTATCCACTAAAACAGCTGTTAACCCAACATTTTATCCTCTTAATTATATTTTTTAATGGTCTGAGAGATTTTTCTTAAGATTCTGTGGAACAAAGGGGAAGGGACCCTCAGGGAAGGCATCAGAGCCTGTGGGAATCCACTGGAGCTCTGATGTCTTACTGGAAGATGCCCAGAGAGAATGCTCTATTCAGGCAGATTCAAAGAATTCTAGAGGATACTTCCTACTTAATAGATATAAAGAAAGTGTTTAGATGATTTTCCTATGGAAAAGCCTATTGTTTTTATATTGACAACTGTTTCTTTCTCTGGGCAACCTAGTTAGGGATCACCATAAAAATAACAAATCTATTTATAGAACATTTTGAAGTTTCCATAAAAATTTCACATACATGTTTTAATTTCATTCTATCTAGTCCTTTGTTCCATAAAACTGTAGTTGATTTTCACATGTTTTAACAGGATAGAAAGTTGCCAACCCTGTTAATTTCCCGAAAATTGGGGGGAAATTTTGTAGCTCCTAGATTTTGCAAGAATCTGGAACATACTTCATATGAGAAAGGGCAGCAAGGCCAGAAGGGGTAACAACTCTAGGGGATATTAAGACCCAGTCAGTAAACATAATGACCCGTGGTCAAATGTGAAAGAAAGTCTTTCACGAGGCTTCTCAGATTCTTTTTATATAATATGCCTGGAAATCTCAAAGGGGTGGATTTACAATAGAATATGCAGCATTTTAAACTTATTTGGCCCCTGAAAATGTTTTGAGAGATCATTAATTAGCAAATTGCTAATTACATAAAGAGGGAAGGTAGAGAAAGTTCTGGGAAAATTTTTTAAATAAATGTCTCTCGTTTTAAACTCTTACATTTTCTAAAATTAAACAACTTCAACTGAAGTTTAGTATAAGGCATGTTAGATGTTGATGACATCCTTAAAGTTAAGAAAATAATATAATCAACCACATTATTAATGTTTAAGTTTTTAAAAATGTATTTAACTTATTATGGTTTTATACATTCTTACACTGTTAGTATAATTATTCAACAAATTTTAAAAGCTTCATGAAGCCAGTATGATAAAAGTTACCCCTGTCATACTTCATAAACTTAAAACGAATCTAGGCCTGATTTCAAGGACAAATAGCATTTATTTTGATAGAAATTATTTATAAAACAATATGGTATAAATGATACTTCCAATGTATGGCCACAATTTCCAAATTATTTTTATGGAATAAATTTTTATATTTTAAAAACATTTTTATTTTATTTATTTAGCATTTATATCCATTTCTATTTTTTCCCCCTTAAGCATCTTTGTTCTGAAATATTTCTCTTTTGATAGACTTACTAGCCAGTCATTTCATCCTCACAGTGGTCCTTAAGGACCTGTCACCTCTATTTTACAGACGAGAAGAATGAGTTTACAAAGGTTAAATGCCTCGCTGATCTGGGAAACTGATGAACTAGGTTTGAAGCAAGATTTTCTAATTAAATCTTGTGTATTTCTCACTAATTGTTGCATTGGTCTCTGGAAAGGCACTTATGTCCTGGCCAGTTACAACAGAGGAATATCTAGAACTGGCCTAGAAAATGAACAGGCAGGCTGTTATCTTTAAAAAGCAGTGGACAGGATGTTTGCAGACCTGAGCTCTAGTCCTGGTTTTGCCACTAACAAGCCTGTTGACCTCAGGGAGGGTGCATAAACTTTCTGGGTTTCAGCTTCCTATTAAATTAAATCATTGTTTGTCAAGCCTGGCCACACACCAGAATTACCTGAATTCTTCTTTAAATTACCTAGATTCAAGTACCACCTCAGATCTGCTGGGTTAGAATTTCTTGGGGACAGATAGGGAGTATGTCCTTAAAGTACCTTGGTGAAGTACACCCGACCTGTCCCCGAAATACTGTGCATTGGCATTTAGGGACCTCAGAACTAGATGATCTAATTAATACCTTCTATCTCTCAAGTTCTTAACAAAGTATTTTCAGAAACCCACCTTTATAGAGTGAATGTTAACTTAATATCTCAGTGTAAATCATGCATAGTACCTTTCTTTAAATCTGTAACAAAGTAGCTTAGATTTTTAGTTGTAATTTTGTTTATCTCATTAAAATCCAGGCCCTTAGGCTTTATCTTTCATGTACAAATCTGTGTATAAGTTATATATAAATGTATGCATAGCTGTGTTTCTGTAGTTGGTTCCCTTCAAGCATTGACTGTACACAGTGATGATGAAAAGTGAACACCCAGTGGTGCAGCCTGTCAGAAGCAAGGCTGGGTCTCCACCACTGCTGATGCTGGGTAAGTGTGCACAGTAAACTGCTGTGTCTCACTATCACTGTGAGTCATGTGTTCTGGAGACAGAAGACAGGTGTCTCAGGAACACTCAGTAATCTGGACACAGTGAAGGTGTAATTTTTTTAAATGGCATACACTTGTTTATAAATACTTTTATTTAAATATTTGAGTGCCTGCTGTGTTAGATATGGTGCTGAGTGCTAACAGGACTTCCATGTAATGTCTCATGGACCTGGAAATGAGTAGGATGCAGCCCTTGCTCAAGTGATTTGAATTACTATTTCTGTGTGAAGTACAAAGGTTTAACACTTGCATTTTATTAAACTTCACACACACAAAGAGAGGTAAACTGACTCCAGATGTCTCCATGACTATCAAAGTTATTTTCACTTATTTACATTTGCTATGACTCCCATATTTCTTTATAATTTCTCAAATTCTCTACTTTGAAAACAGAGACGAATTAAGAGGAAATAATGACTTCTTTCTTACTTGTACTTTTGGGGGGACACATTGGTTTCTTTTGGCTCATAGTTTTTAAATTTATAACCCTGAAATAAACATGGATTTTTAAAATAACATGGATTTTTTTCCCTTTCACATTATTTCAGGTTGGCCTCATCACAGCTTT